CGGAAGCGGCTGCTGCGGCAGCCGACGTCGAACTCCAGCTACGGCAGCGGAGAGGGGCCACGCGCCACCGCTAGCAGAACAAAACAGCTTTAAATGGGAGCCTTCAACTGGCGGCCGCGTTCTACTGCTCCGGTCCTTTGTTCGTCGTCGCCCGGAGGGGTCGGCGAAACCTAGAGGGCCCTCCAGACCACCCCCTTCCACGGCGGGCGGCGGTGCGGCCGTGTGCTCCGGCGGGTGGCTGCGTCGGAAGGGTTTCTGCTGGTTCGGAAGGAAGCCGCGCCGTGGGAAGGCGCCTTTATGGCCGCGGCAAGGAAACGCGCGAACGTCAATCATCAGGGCCTCTTCGCCCGACGACGGAACAAAGGGACGAAGCAGGTACCTTTGCTGCGGTCCCTTTGTCCGTCGTCGCCGGAGGGTCGGCGAAGAGCCCTGATGATTGACGGTTGCGGCGCTTCTGTCGCGGCGTGGAAGCGGCCTTAGACGTGCGCGGCGCATCTCAAACTCCCTTGGTTTGTCATTGGCTGTTTTATGACGCGCTCACTTGCGCCTTCCGCGAAGTGGCGACCACCCCCATCCGCAGCGGCTCGGCCTTACGCGCGGCCCGCCCGGTTTTGTCTCAGAAAGGTTTTGGGAGCCCTCCACGGTGCCAAGAGGGCCCCGGCCACTTTAAGGCCGTTTGCCACGCGCGGCAGAAAGCCTGCACGTGGGAAGGCCTCCATTCAAACCAATGCTCTGCTATGCGCCGCGCTGCTGCGAAGCGCGCCGTGGGAAGGGGCCCTAAGGGCTGGGACGTCGCGACGGCGGCGCGCTTCCATCGAGCAGCAGAGCCCTTCCGACGCCGCCGACGCCACCACCGCCGTCCGCTGTCGAAAAGGGTGGGTTCTGCAGGGGTAGGTTTCGACGACATCGAACGTCGAAAGGGACCGCTGCGGGTAAAACGCAGCGACCGGGGGCACCGTGGGAAGGCTCCCATTCAGGGCACCTTCACACGTCGCTACCGCAGCGCGCTTCCTAGCACCGCAGCTCGTAGCAGAGCATTGGTTTGAATGGAGACCTTCCCACGTGCAGCGGGCGTGCGCTGCCGCGGCAAGCAGCGGAGAACACTAGCTACGCGAAGCGGAGGCGGGAGTACGCGCCATCGCTAGCAAAACACAGCTTTAAATGTTATTTGCGGTATTTGCAGGAAATCAGGACATGAAGTAGAACCCTGCGCTATACTACCCAAATGAGTAAACTGCCACGAATACTGTCTCTAAATGACCTTCTTGAAGGAAAGGGAGATCCAGATGATGTCACCGGGGTGTTCATCCGAAAAGAAACACGTAGATATCAAGTAACGAACCTTGTGCGTCATTCTACAGTGCCGTGTCAAAGACCTCGAAAGTGGCAGGAGGAACAAAAACAAGATAGTCCCCACCAAGAACAAAAGATCTATTAAGAAAGTTCTTCAACCATCTAAGTCCGCCCAAGCTTCCATTTGAGTCGTCGGTAGACGATGTCGGTCAGTTGCGTATCCCCGTCTCGTCTCCAGTTAAACAATCTTTTTTCCGAGAACCGGCCCTTCGCTCCTAATTCCGAGACTGGCTCTCAGCCTCCCCAGCAGTGCCCGGAAGAACTCCGCTTCGAAGTTCCCACTAGGGAGCGCTCCTGCCGCCTGAGAGCAACACTGTGAACCAAAGGAAAACCTAATTACTACGCACAGAATGGCCCTTCCACCCTGGAACAATGAAACCTAAAAGGATTTTGCTACCGATTTATTTTTTAAAAACCTTTTTCCACACTGTGCCACTTCACGGGCAAAATATGTTAGAATTACTGTCCCAGTTTATTTAACAATGTAAAGAAACATTATATCAGAACAAAACAAAATGCAAATAAAGACCTATTAAATAGAATATACTGTATGCAAAAAATCTTATTTTCAAATTTAATGTCTGTAACAAAATCATATTTCTATTGAGAATTTTTTTTCCCTTTGTGTAATCAATTTTTCACTCTTGAATAACGTTCCAACAATATTCTGCAAGCAATGAATGTACTCATTTTCCTTCATACAGTCATTATTACTTTATGAAACCTTCCTTGAAAACATCACTGCAGTTCTCAAGAAAATAATGCAAATCAGAATCAAGCAAATGCACATTTAAAGTCATGTTGCAACTTAAATCCCTATATGAATTTATCAGCTGTTCAATGAATTCTTAGCTATGAGCTATTATTTTTCCTATACATTTTTTGTAATATTCTTGAAACTATCCTTCAGTTGCTTCTTTTGACCACTTTCCATTTGTGTTAAGCCAAAATCCTTCTTTTGTGGTAGTAATTTCTGTTGCAGCTATCTCACTTACCGAGAAAAAAATACATATTTGGTGTAACCATGTTGTATACCCAACACCTGGTTAACTTCTTTCAAATCTTCACGAATTGTCCACTTGCATTTCTCTAATTCGGACATTATGTGTATCAGAAAAGCATATATCACTTTTGTCATATTTATTAGATACTTGGGACAAAAAGGTATTATGTTCCTGTTATGGAGAATAACTCCTTTTTGACTATGATTCCATACAATATATCAAAAAATTGTAAATGGCATTAATTAATGAACTAATTGTGTACTACAAATTTTGTTTGAAGGAAAAAATCACTCTTCAGTAATGTAAGAGGAAATAAAATTTCGGACTTTTACAATTTTCAATAGACATTGGTAACTGTGTAGACATTTTTGAGAAAATTTTGAAAAAGTCTCTGGGATTTTCCATGGAATACCTCCAAAGTATAAAAATTAATTTCTAATTTGCAGAGCCTCTACTCACACCAGATCCAACAGTGAACATTCATTTTGGAAAAAATCCTATAGTTTTCAGTGGTTATTTTGTTCACAAGGCAACAGACACACCAACCAATATTCAAAATGCTTGCTTGCATCATATAAGTTAAGAATATAATATTTCATTAAAAGAATTTAAATATATCAGAGTTGTGATCTAAATTTTTGTTGTTGTTGTTGTTGCACAAATGACATATTTAATTTGGAAAAGAGTATGCAAGTCATTAAATTTCCAGCTTTCCTTTCTCAAAAAATTATATTTTGCAAATTATTTAATCTCAGCACTGATGCATTTCCTTTGCTAGCAAACATCTTTTAAGCAAACTAGGATAATTAATCATTTCATTCAAGTTTAACACTCTCAATAAGTTTTGAGCAATTTTTATTAATCATGCAGTTGCAAAACAAGTGGTAAATCTTACATCAACATTTTTATTGAAATAGGATGAAAAAAATAACTTATATGCACTTAACCTTCAATGATCTCCTAGGAGTTATATAAAATAAGATATCACAGATCAATGTATACAACATTCACACTTATTGCTGACTTGAATTTACTTTCAGAAAGAGAAGCCTCTGAATTGAACAATATTTTTTCATTGCCTTATTGTTATACAAATGAACTCCTCTAATAATAAGTACTTTTAATCTTTTTTATTCTTGGGAGAAAATGTTTAACATAAACTTTAAAAATGTATAAATTCTGTTTAACATGTTTTTCTGGATATTTAGGTTTGAAAAAGAATATTACCAGAGCATATTTAAACAGCAAATGCTACACATCAACAATTTTGTACTTTGTAAATTCATCAGGACACTTTTCTGGATTACAATTTAAACGTACAAGGAATAATTCAACATAACAATTCTTAATAAGCAAATAGTGATTTAATTAATCATTCAAAATAAAATACTATTTTAATTGATGGAAATAACTAAACTCTATATTAGAATGTGAAAATTAAACTAGTTTTAAGAAAAATGAACACCTATGATACATTTTACGTCAATGTAAATGACATATCTTTATAAATTATTTATAAGGAGCTGAACAAGGAATGTCAACTTGCCTAGGAAATCACAGGTACTACTTTGACAGTCTCATGATGCAAAAACATTCTAAAATAAACTATGTATTTCATAGCCATTCATTTGGAAAGTCTTCAGAAATTCATGTTCTGTTTTTATGTGTACAAATTTGTATCACAATAAGGGTTTCTTACTAATTCTCCTATTTGTAGTTTTAATATATGAAGATAGAGTGAAGACCCATTAAGGCACATTTCTTAGAAATAAAATGCATATTAAGTCAGAAATATTTCTAGAAATTTTACAAATTGCCTGAACAACAGAAAATATGTAATTTCAAGATATATATTAATTACAATACCCATTGAAAAAATTTGTCAACTGAATTCATTTTTAATGAGTACACATTTAAAAATTTTGTCACCAAATTGATTCAATTCAATTACCAGATTTACTCGAACATAAAACTAGGTTTCTTTTGAAATACCTAAGAAGAAAAATGTGAGGTCGTCTTATATTCTGTTAGTGTTTAAGTTTTTACTTTGCCATTCCATGTCACGAAACTTGTAAATGTTGACATAACAAACTGAAGACAGTAAGAATATTGTGTGTATCTACAATATGTTGTTGTATTCGCATTCGTATTCTCAGCATCCACTGCGAATTTGCTCGGCAATTCAGAATTCAGACCAATTCTGATACAGTGACCATCAACAAGTGTGGGATGGATGAAAATCTTGCAACAAAAGTGAATATTCTCAGGTGGCATCCGATGAAAGACTATGAACAACACACATTTAGTCCGCAAACTTTCAGAAGGGCCTAAAAATTCAGAAGATGTTACAGCATGGAAAGGAGGACCAAAAGAGAAAAAAAGCATTGGTACATGTGAAGATGATGATGAGGGTAGTGACAAAAACCATGATTATGATTTTAAAGAAGAAAATTATAGTTCAGCAAGAAGTCTTAATATTTTCATCAACAAAGCAATTTTATAGTCAAAAAGACAATTTTCAATTTTATTTTGACTAAATACTAAGAATTAGTAAAAAATTAAAAAATTCTCTTCAAAATTAGGGGGTTGTCTTATATTCGAGTAAATACGGTAATTACTATATAAGGCTTGTAAATTAAATGAAGCATGGAAGGTAAATACTCTCTTAATTATTCAAACTATGCTATTTTTCTTTATTATTAATAATATTATTTAATAGCGGTGGGACCTACTATTTCAGAAAATCAAATACCAAGTAATTCATTAATCTAATGCTTCCATATAATTCAGGTATATAGAAACTTTCTCACGAGTTCAGCAGCTAATGACATTTGGAAAAAATACCACTAAAGAAATATCACATCCAAAAATGTCTAATTTTGCAAGGGTGACTAGACCAGACAAAAACATAAGTTGATAACAATTTACATTTACTTATAAATTTGAATATTTTCTAGAGGAGAAGCAGACTAACCTATAACTTATGCAGTAATCACTGATAAAGGGTTTTCTTCAATCATAGGTAATAATACACAAGTACTATCACATTATCATACAATTGATTTCTTATCCAATTAGGCAGTACAGGAATAATTGCTCCAACTAAATATTTGCTTACTACCTAACTTCCTTACAATACAAAAACAAACTATTTAAAAAGGATAAAAATTTTATATTAAAAATACAAATTTTCTTTTCAGCAATGCAGGTACGTATAAGCAAGGCACTCAGGATTTCATTCATTCCAAATATTTGCTATGTTAATGTTACATTTATGTTTGCACATACTTAGAATGAATGAATGAATTAATTAATTAATACTTTGACCTGTTAACTCAAGTAAATGCTTCGCCAACAGAAACATTAAAACCTATTTTGGCCTTATTTACATGGCTTAATGTGTCTTTGACACAGGCTGCAATGCTTGAATTGGAAATAACAATGTAGTATGAAGTCCTTTCAATAACTAAATTTTCAGGTGTGAGTTGCAGATTTTCCCCAATAAATCACTGTTTTATTAAAATTTTCATTTTTTCAGCAATCCACTGCAAGAAATACAAAACATCTTTTGTTGTAATTTTCTCATATACAAAAAGTGTCTGAAATGCGCAACAACAGATTATTCACTTACTTGAGCCATATCTGGATTATTAAGGACAACCTTGCGACCAGACAAATTTTTTGAACTCCCCTTTCCAGATGATCTGAATTGTGTTCCTTTAAGTGAAAGATAAATGCCATCTTCCATGATAACAGGAAGTTGTACTGTTTCCCATGGTAATTGCCATTCCATCTAAAAGCATATAAAGTTTATATACAAATTTTTTACCAATAAGGATCTTGCAGCTCATGAGAAAGCACTTAAAACTAAATTTTGAATTGCAAGTAGGACACAACTGAGAATATTAAAAATGTGTCAATGAGAACAATTTTTAATCTCTGCAATATTAACAATAGTATGGGGGAAATACCCATACTTAATCAAACAAACTCAGCACATATCTATCACACAACTGATATCAAGTTCTTTTTCACTTCCTTTATATAATTTTTCACCTAGATTTATGTTTAGCTAAATAATACACCACAAATACTTTTCCTCATATGAAAGAGAATACATTTTTCCTCCTATACAAGAATATTTTTCAATATTGAGTAAAGTAAAAACTACCCTGACATTATTACTTACTAATTATTATATTCACCAATAGTGCAGTACTCATTAAAATATAATTCAAGCACTTGCAAAGAAATTTCTCACCTTCCATGTCTCAAAGAATTCACTACGAGATAGTAGCATCGCCCTCTTATTTGTGAGTAGCAGGATGCTCTGTCCAGAAGATTCAACATGAATGTGACAATCATATGTATCTGATGCAGCAAAATCTTTCTTCTCAAGATCCTGAAATATTTGAATTTAATAATAATAATAATAATAATAATAATAATAATAATAATAATAATAATAATAATAATAATAATGTACTCTCAGATGCCAAAAATAGATAAAAGAAAAACAACCTTAGTGATAAAAATGATCTTAAATATGTTCTCAAGGTTACCTGTAATATTTTGTTTCCTTCAGCTTCTGCAAAAACATAAGGACGAACACGTCCATCTCTTCTAAAGAATCGAGGAGGTCGCTGCCTTTCAACATCCACAGTTGTTTCAGTTGTTCTATCATAACAAATCATAAGATAATACTTGAGAAATCAAATAAATATATCATAAACAGAAACTTGCAAAGAAAAAATCTTATTATTACCTTCGTATGGCATCAAAAGATCCACTAGCAAAGTCAATTATTCCAGCAGTAGGGCGAGCAACAAGACCAACCATACCTTTTCCAAATCCTTTAAAAAATCCTTCTACTCCATCTCTCTTGGCCCCAGAGATAGGCTTTGTAAACACTCCAGAAACTCCATCCATAACACCCTAAAAATAAAATATCAGTGCTAAAACATTACATCTAATTCTTGTTACAACTGGATCATAACATTTAATACTGAAACAAGTTTGATGTGAGGAACATAATGCTTTTCAGCTGCAAGACAAAAGCCAACTGATGCAAAAGTGATAATCATTTGATTGAGAGAGATTGTGACAGTTGAATCAGCAATGAGTTTTCTTTCCAAATGCAATATTCAAAGCCTGTTTGCCCCACAGTAACTGTCACAGAATATTATATTTAATAATGTATTAACAAATACAATAGTTTCATAAAAACATTTCAGTCAATAACAAATAACATGAAATCCTATTAAAAAATTTACTAACAAATCTACTCAAGAAACTGAAGTGAAGAGAGCTCAACTAAAAAGAAACAAAAAGGGAACTTACTTTTACAAGACCTTCTCCACTTTGTGCCAGACCTTTTGTGACACTAGAAGGACGATTACTTATAGCTTCTTGTCTTTTTCGCTTATAGTCTTCATCAAATGATAATGCAGCTACACCACTTCCTGCATAACATATAATAAACATCTTCATAAACATATATAACAAAAACACACACACTCACATCCACACAGCTATATGTATAAACACATTATGGCTAATGTTAGGAATGAGTTAAATAAGCACATTAACCAGATGGTATGGATAAAGTTATTTCATGAATAGCCAGATTTGCACTTTATCAAAGCATTTACAATTTAGTTAAAATTCACTATATCTAACCCACAGCTCCTGTAATGCGTGATACAGCTCCGAACGCTCCTCCAACAGTATGACCTACAAAGCTACGAACTCCTAAAGCAATGCCTTGTGCAAATTCTTCAGGTCCTTGAATGGCCCCCTATAACAAAATAAATTTCCAATTAATGCAAGTGATTACCATGATCATTACCCCTATCATCATACAAGTCAGAATTTTTATAGTACATTAGAATAAATTTTGTTCAAGAAACACTAAGGGAAGAATTTGTGAAGTAGGGCCACCTCAAAAAATGATGTTATTAGATTTTTACCAAAACCAGATTTGGTTCTGGCTTGAGACAGAATTAATTTGTATTGTCTTATTATTTTATATTAACATTGACAAAAATTAGAAAAATATTAATTTCTTTTCTTTAAATAGGTTCCAAGCAATTAATTAATTCCTGAAGCAATGCACAAACTTAATTTGTATGTAATTTTGTGTATTGCTTCAGGAATTAATTAATTTTTTCTTAAATCAGAGAAGTAGAGCCACTTGTCTCGTGTTTTAGATTTACTACAAGCAAAATATCAAGACTAAATGAAGCCTCCGAGCAAAATTCATAACCCTGGTTTCATCACTCGAGTGATACCTCCTTTCTCTGACAGAAGTGAAAGAAGCATATATTGTAAATAAAGCAGTAGAGAACAGCATAACTCAGAAATTGCATCAGAATTCTGAATCATGATTTTACTTTCTCAATACCACCTTCATGTTAATAAAAATTAATAAATAAAACATATTCCTTTGTAATTTTCCCTTCTACAAGATGACAATTTCCAATAAAATGTCAACTAAAACCACCATTATTGGATGTTATTACACTTTTTTCCACATGTTTCCAGAAATGAAAATTACTGAAGCTAGGCATACAAAAATTCAATGTTTAGCACTTTTGTTTTAATGCATTTCATTGTTTGCTTCCAGGAACATTGAGTCTGGTTTTGGTGAAATCTAAAAATTCATTTTTTTTAGTTTCCTCTTCACAAATTCTTACTCACTTTAATGCTAGGATTTCTAACTACTAGTTTTATAAAACATGACCTATAAAAATAAAACTATTTTACTACAGTTTGAAAACTGAAATAAAGGAAATCAGTACTCACTTGAATTGGCTCGTAGAATACATCTTCAACTCCCTGTTTGAGTCCTTTCACAAAATTTAAAGGATTACCCAAAACATCTAGACCTAATACAAGTACATACAACTGTTTAAGTACTTGACTTCTGTAGTGGTCATTTGCCTGGCTCAAAAGTTGCTGAATACTTAGGAGTGCATCTTGACGCTCAAAGTATGCTAATCTGAATAAAAATACATAAATACAATTGCAATGCAAACAATATGAATTTAAAGTAAATATTTGTGAAAAAAATCAGAGGCTACGAACTAGGAAGCAACAGGTACAAAGAAGGTTCTTAGGTGACTTCAGACAAAAGTACGCAAATTCAACACTGAAAACGTTACTGGAGGCCAATAAAAGTCAAGAGGATGACTAGGAGAGGATGACTAGAAGGAAACAACAATTCATGTGAAGATGAAATGGTAATATCAAAAATGATTTTAAGAAACAGAAAATTCAGAGGATTCCCAAAAATTGTATTTGCTCTTTGACACTAAATATATTTGGAATGGAGAGACATACCGCTGTGATTCTTGCTTGCTACTTCTGTTGAATGTTTTGGTACATTTTCTTGTGTTCAAAATGACCCCCCATAAGTAGCCAAATCACACTGATATCACTGAATAGCTGACCAAGTTCATTCCCCTTTCTTTGGACCCCTCTATAGTGATAGCTCAGATAAAAAATTATATTCCTTCTTGTCAACACAATTTTCAAGATAATTACTCAATCTGTGATCTGATTTTGACTGAACGGTAAGAATTAATTAATAAAAAATCAGGAAGCCTCAAAATTGCAGGGTCGTTTTATGGGCATCCGTAAATTACGTAGTGCTAAAGAGGGAGAAGGAAGTTTTAGGCAGCGTTAGTTTAGCGTCATGTAATGTTGATTTCTTTTAAAATTTTCAACATTTGTTGAAATAATTTCTTGTATTTAGTCACAGACTAAACATTAGGACATTAGTAAATTAAATTAAAAAAATATAAACACACTAAAAAAATTATAATGTTTAAAATAAATGGAAATATTTTTTGATCAATGATATACTAATTGAAACTGTTAGATTATGAAGAAGAAAATATTCAAAACTGACCAGCAGTATACACTACCATCCAATTAAATTGGCACAATTGTCTCTTACCCATGCATCATCAATGATGGCAAGTGCATGGCTTGTTGTCAGAAATTGTTTCTTCACTCAAAATTGTCTTCAATCTTACTGTTAGTTGCGGTCAGCATCACCAACTAATTTTAACTTTAATTATCATAAATTTTAATATATAACACAAATGAAATTAACAAATGGATTTTATTGTATTATAATTGGATTTATTCTTAAAACACTGTAAAAGAGGAGGGGAGTGTTGAGCCAAGCATAATGTAATTATTTAGGGGGAGTTCTAGTGCGTGTTACAGGGGGAAAGGGGGTATTCAAAATACTCCAAATTTACATTATGTAATTTATGGATATATTACATTCATGTAAATTCAGTATTGTTTCAACATTCAATTAGCATTTTACTGTTTATACCACAAGTGTTTTTATCTCTAACTGAAAAAGAAGAAACTTGACTGTCTATTGAATGAACATAAAAACTTGACATTTCGAATAAATGTTTATACAATGTATGTATCCACACACAAAAAAAAGAGAGAGAGAGAAAAAGGATTTCTCCCCTGAAGAAATGAAATGTGGATTGAAGGGGCAAAAATGTGTTGTTTTTCTCATCTTGATTAACACAATTTCCAATGTATCTAGGCATCGGGGATCAAAGGGCTGGAAAGCAAGCAGGACAAGCAGGGTTTCCAAAAATATAATTGTTCTAAAAAATTGTTAAAAGTAAAGAAAGTTTACTGGCACTAAAAGATCCCATTACTTCATCAGTGGGTTAAATTGAAAAGAACCTACCTGAAAACAACATCTTGCGCATTGGTGAGTGTGACACCAAGACTATGCAAAAGCACTCGCAGTGCATGAGGTGGTTCTCGGCCTTTTCTAACGCCAGCATCTCCACTTAAAGATAAACTCAAATGTATCTAGAATATATTTTTACAAACAAATTTATTAATTGAAACTACAAGCTGAAAAAATAATTATTCAATACATTTTTCTAAACAACTCTTCAAATCATTAAATTTTATATTTAAAATATTTTATCACCTTGAGAGGAGAGAAATGTAGGAGGCAAAAGTAATGTTTCTGCCCTCTGGAAGCACCCAATGCAACATGAGCAGGCAGTAAAGCCTTCACCAAAAGGAAGTCTTCCAAAAACTGCGCCACCTACAAGTATTATAAACATAATACCAACAGCATTATAATCTGCCTTTGAAACAAACAGATCAAATATACACAGAAATTTAATTTAAAGCTTACTTCTACTTCATCTGAGGGTTCTCCAGCTTCCACAAGTGCTGCCAAAGCACTTATCAACCCCATATCCAGTTTCACTTGGAAGGCTTGAATGAGAGTTTTGCAATATTGTATTTGTTGAAGGCTTGAATGCTTTGCTTTTCGTACAACCGTACTGAACTCCATAAATGGTCGTGCCACTAAAAAATGAAGCGATATTGACAAATTTAACGAACAGAATCATTTCTAATTTGACCTCAATGAAGAGTCAATATAATAATTAAATGTGAACAATTCATCTTAATTACTATACATCAAATACTTAATACTAGGACTGTGATTTGTAAGCAATAAAAAGAGCTAAATACATGTGGTTATATATGTAAATAAATTTGGAATTATATGCAACTAATCCCTTTCCGGGCAACCAATTTTAATGATGCAACTGGGCAGACAGGGTCCAGTGGACCCAGGAGTATCTGTGACATAATTATTCTTAGAGGTGTCCTTTTTCAACATGGATAATGAACCAGAATGCTTTAATATAATTGTTAAATTTAACAAAATCTTTCAAAATACTTTATTTTACAAGTTTTCTTTGTGTGTGTAGTGTGAGAGGGAGATAGTGGGGGGGGGAGTGGTTCTGTTCCTGTTTTGTATCAACTGCATTAAATAGTGCAAAGAACAACAAGGTTATAACCTATTTAAGTGCATAAAATGTAAAATTTCATGCCCAATAGTGCCTAATTTCATAATTTTTGTTACCTATTTTAGGTGCCTAAATCATCACTTTTTTGTGTCTAAAATTCCAAGGTCTACCGATCACACACTGTTTACCTGGACATGTTCATTCAGACTGATTTTGAACAGATACTACATCTCTTTGTTTCCTACTTCTTTACCAAGGGCACAAATTATATCTTATTTGGCATTGTTATAAATAAAGACTGGATTCCCGTGTAACTGCATCTTTTCTTTGCTAGCTTGAAATTGAATCGTTTATTTCAGAAACATGTCAAACACCAAATTCCTCATTTCAAGAAAAGTGAGGGAAAAAATCTCCCATTTTATGTTTTCAAAATATTTTTATTTATTAAAGCAGTTGATAAATGAATATTTTTCATATAAATATGCACTAAACGATGTGTCTACCCCTTGAAACAATATTCCGCCACTAATGCGTGCTTTTGATTTTGGCGTTTGACAGGTTTCTGAAATAAATGATTCAATTGGATGTAACATCGACAGAAATTTGAATCCTGAAGCAGATGTTATTTTATTTCTTGTGTTATTTTGCACGAATTTGGAATTTTATTTTGACTAAATAGTTAGAATTAGTTCAAAATTTAAACAATTCTCAGAACGCCTCTTCAAATTAGCAGGTTGTCTTATATTCAGAGTCGACTTATATTCAGTACTTATATTCGGTATAACACATGAGTTTACATTTGAATTGAATAATTTTTAAAAAGACTTAATATGCCAGAAACAGGAGCAAAAATGTCACATTTTCAAAAGTTGCTAACTTTGCTTTTTTTGAAATTTTTATTCATCATTCAACTATTATAATTAATATGTTGGAATGAGATTCTGGAGCTCAAGAATACATGTGCAGATGGAACGTCTCCCCTGTACACCACATATAGTTTTACTGTTCTTTGCCTTAAAAATAAATAAATAAAAAAAATAAAAAACAACAACAACAACATCTCAGGTTGCATCAATAGCAGGCACAAAAGAAAAAGAAAAGAAAGTAAAAAGGGGCTTATAGTTGGAACCAAGAGGGTCTCCTGATTTAAAGATCGTTATTATCTCTTTTTTTTGCAAGGTATCCCTACCTGAATGCATTTATTAAACAAATGTACTAATGGTTTAACTATATGATGGCGTGGCGGCGGCGGCGATGGTGTAACTCTTAGAATATCAGACTGTTACACCCAAGTTAGCAGGTTCAAATCCGATCGAAGCCACTGATTTTTAAGGGCGAAAAAATCCATCGTACGGTTCTTTCGGATGGGAAGTAAAGCTGGCTGTCCCATGTTAGTAAATTTATTGGCATGTAAAAGATCCTCAAACCTCTGAGCTAAATTCAAATCACCTGTTCATCAGCCAAGAAATACCTCCTTTCTCCGCTAGTTGGTGAAAGGGTTGTAGCACAATTGGCGTGGTCAGACACAAGAGCAAGCCTGATGGCTCGAGTCTCACCACGTAAAATAAGACATCAATTCAATTCAATTCAATTCAATTCAATTCAGAAATGATTTGAAACTTTTTTAAATATCTTCTCAGTTTCTGCAGATGTGTATATTGTTATTAATAATAATCTTTAGTATTTCTTTTTCATTAGTTGGACTCAAAAATGAACTATCATATACTAATTTTTGGAAAAGATTGCATATCCTAAAGTAACAATTTTAGGTGCTATGTCTAGGCCAATTTTTGAAAAGACTTTTCTAAGGTGATCTTAGAAGTCTGAATCAGACATATATACATATAATCAAATGGTTTACTTAAGTTGAAAGAAAAAAATCGAAAATTTTCCCCGGGGGCTTCATGTAAAGTACCCCCCAAAATTAAAGGCTGAGTGTGAAATTCAAGGGGCTGCAACAGCAGGCAAATCAATGGAGGAATATCATTGTTGGAGAAAATCGGCTGAATGGTTTAGCAGCTGGCATTGTTGACAGACAGACAGACAGAGACAGACAGACAGACAGAGACAGACAGACAGACAGACAGACAGACAGACAGACACACACACACACACACACAGACAGACACAGGCAGACAGACAGGACGGACAAATGTTTTGCCGTCATTTGATTTTTCAGTATCGAGGATCTACAAAAAGGAATTCTGGCTACACAACATGCCAGAGAATTTTTTTTCTAAACAGGATTTATCCACTTTTTTGTTACCAGGGCCCTGTAATAAGAGTTTTTTTCCATTCAGCACAACATAACTTTCTCTCTACTCCTTGGTGAGAAAGTACCAAAATATGTGTATCCATATAAATCACAAGTCTATATATTAAGATTGCATCTACACATTCATTCTATGTCAATTTTATTTACAATAATAGAACTTACAAAACTGACAAAAGTAAACACGTCCAACATACAGTAGATGAATTAAATAATTCTAATGAACTTCAACCACATAATAAAACCGTATGGAATGAAGTAGAGTAGAAACCAAATTAATAAACAAGAATTTTCATATACACTTTGCTAATAGAGAAATTTCAAATCTGTATTTACGATACTCAGATGGCCCAAAATTAGTTATTTTGTAACATCACATTTGTTTAAAACTTAAATATTCCAGAACATACCATTGCTAGCTGCCACAGATCGAGACGGTGGCACTGGGGCAAGTGCAACAGGATATGTACTCTCAGGTAACTGGCAATCTGCCTGCAAATGGTCCAGTTTAGCATGCACTTGCATTTCATGAGGAAACCACTTCACTTTCATCCACAGGCCAACCTACAATGAAATAATTTCTTTATATTTATTAGCTCAAATTACGAAGGTTAGGTTTCCTAAATTAATAGGGTTCATCCCTTTATTGCTAATTTCATCACTATATAGTAAATAACATTTACTGCCTGTCAGAAAACCTTTCAGAAAAAGATGAAGAGCATATTCCACTTTTCAAAATGCTAAAAGCACATTTGTTTTCTTTTTTGCGCAATGTTTTCTTTTATCAGCTTTATTAATTTGAAAAGTACTTTTTATACCTGATTTTTCTTCTCTCCTGGTACCTTATTATATCTCTCTCTGAGCTTTTGCGGCATTCTGAAAATCACAAAAGCATTGTGCTTAGTATGGTGCACCTGCTTAGGATAAAAGCATTTTACGATTTAAATTTAATGAATCAAAACAGAACTTTCTTATATCAATGTATTTTTGAACCGAATATGTTTTTTATCTGATTTTATTAATTTAATATTTTTCATTTAGTAGTACCTGCTTAAGTTATCTATGATTATTAAAGAATCTAAATAACTGTAAAATTGAAGTTTTCCAACTTACTTGGTCACAGCAATATAGAGTACTTCAATTCTCTCTTCATTATCAATAATAGACAAACCTAATCCAGAAAGGTTAACAGTCAAGCTCCTAATAACACGATCTTTTCCCAGTTCTTGGCCACTCTCAGTAATTGTTGAGTCTTTAGAGAAGACCATCACTCTTTGTGCACCATCCAGAAAAGAGCTCCAGAAGATGTGCACTCCTCGCTGTATTTCTATACTTCCTGCTCCATCCTTTATCCAACAAAATATTTTGAAAATGTAAAAGCTGAATGAAAACTCTAACATACCTTCAATATCATTTTTCGCTTGAAGCACAAATTCATAGCATTCTTTTAAAGTGACATAACATTTTATTTGATTCTCATTTGAACTTAATCAGGCAATTTATAGTAGTTGGTCTAATAAACATAGCTCTTAGCAAGCAACAAACTAATCCCATTGTCCAGAAACTTCTGCAATATTTCTCAATTCCTTTTTAATTATCGAAGACATTTTAATGATGAGCGAAATTAGAGGGTGGAAAATATCGATAATATAAGAAGTGTAACCTCAAGGGAATATAGGAAACATGGAAAAACCTTTTAAACAAGATTGTGCACTGACTTGGTATCCAACCATTTTAACGCTGGCAACAAAAAAGTTAAAAGGACTATTATTCTATTCAATTTCTCATTTAGTGTAGCATTGAACCAAGAAAATTGTTTTCACAATTTATATTTTCAACCATATATTTTGTATTGTATCTACAAAACAACAACAATAAAACCAGATCACTAGGATCTTCAACAAGGTTTTTACTTTCATGGAATCTGAAGTCATTGCAACAGGCTTCTCCAAGTTTATTGCGTGTTTTCCAATTTGTATGCAAATCAAATATTGCCTAGATTTTGAAAGAAGATCTTTTCAATAAAGTTATGAAATGTAATGATAAGCTAATCTAATAATTCAAATAAAAATAGTGCAATACCACTTACTCGCCGTAGTTGACACACTTCCTTGTCAATTGCATGTTTCGTATTAAGCATGAAATCAATCTCACAAGGGCCAGTAGGATCACTCCAAGTAAACAATACTTCTGTTTCAGGATTTAACAAACTGCAAATACAAAAATATAATTTATTCAAAAATTAAATATTCTCCCACCCTCTTAAATAACAGTACATAAGCACTATCACACCATCCATTTTCAATCATTTTTTCATATGAAATATTCCTCTTGACCCTTACACAAAGAGTACAGTATGTGATACTGTTTCTATATTCCAATTTATCACATTGATTGTCACTTTTCTGCATTAACTTCACATTGTACACAAAATTATAGTCATTAATTATTTTATCTAAACTCGCATAACATTTGTTCAATATTTATTAATTAAGTGTAAAAACAATTATGTATAAAACAGTGATGAAATTAATTGAATCTGAAGACAAAGCCATAAGGCAACATACTTGATTGCATTAGAACCCCTTTCGGAAAAAGATATACTCGAGTCTGAGTGATTGACCAGCAGAGCAGCAGCTTGTCCTGGTTCATAGCCAGCAAAAGTAATATACACTGAAGATTCATTCAGTTGCACATCAACGTTCAGTCCTCCCCACTAAAACAATAGCAGAAATAAAGTTATGAGCAGTTTGTCCTTAAAATTTTACTATAATGAATTGGTACAACATAATTCTAAAAGTTAAAAGAGATCTACAAACTAAAGTCATCTAAAATTAATTCAGGCATTTTTAATGTCTTTCCAAAATTATAAGTGTTTATTTGATGTACCTCATTATCAAGTCGAAGCAGAGTTGTATGAGCAACAGAACATGGAAAAGGAGCAGATATCTGATGAGTACCAGACATTCGAGCTCGCAGTTTCACAGGGTTGTCAGGATTGACAGGCCATATTGCACAACTATCTCCAGGTTCTACCTGACATTACACACACAAAAACAAAAGCATTAGGAAACAAATACACTATTTACCAGGATAATGTTCTTCAAAACCGAAAATATTTACCAAAGGGCTTTAATCCCAGGATACTTACTTTAACCCATAAATCTGCTGGTCTGCTAGCTTCTTGACACTCCACAGCATGTTCACATGAATTTATTAGAACAAAGTGAGGTGTTATGGTCACTTGCTTTGTAAGAGTACACCTCATGAGTTGCACGCTAACACCCAGCTATTGAATCAAGATCAAAATCAAATAACACTTATAAGAAATACATGAACCTAACTAAAAGAATTATATTTCATTTAAATAAGCCTGAACAATTATTGATGGTATTTGAGTACCTATTCTATGTACTATGTATTTGAATACAATTCTTTGATTCTGCAATATTACTTTGACTCCTAAAATCATAATATAAATTATAAAAAGACCAGTGCAGATGCAACTATCAATTTGATAAAAACCACATATGTAATTCAGACCTAAAGGCTGCACGAGATCTATTAATGAAAGTGCAAGACTCATATAAAATAACAATAATAACACAACACAAGACTTAAACTTGGTTATATAGAGGCCAAGCAACATAGAAAAAAAATCTTGCCCTTATTTCTCAAACAAAATGGAAATGTCTACTTTCCCAAAGAAAGAAAAAAGGTTTGAGAGTGTACACTTGCATTGCTAAGTACCTCCCATAGAGAGCTGATTAGATAGGGTTTGCACTGGCCGCCACTGAACTTCATACCACAGAATGTAGAACCACAGAAAATTCCACAAATGAATTTGTGCTACATGTTATTCCTTATGCAGATGGGGAGCTTCTCCTCGCAGGAGGAAACCATGTGAAAAGGTGCAATGGCTGATCCTAAAATGTGTTAAAATTACTTCCTCAAACCTAGCTGCACAGAATGAGGAAGGGCTTTACACAATCCTTAATTGCCTTTAATTTAAAAGTAACATGGTGACACTCATGTGCCATGTATTGAGAATGGCTTTTAAATCTTCTGAAGGGACAATAGAAATGTCAACGTGAGATTTCCATGCCACTCATTTTGAAACCTGGTCAGCTTACTCATTGCCTGTGATTCCCATGGCCCAGGGATGCCATTTTCAAGAGGATAACTGCTAGCCATCTTGTCACTAATATGAACTAGAGATGCAACATTGTTGTCGATGTTTCTAAAACATGAATGTTTTAAACATCGATGTTTTGTTTCTGAATGAAAACTTTCCATGACCACAATACTGTAAAAGTTAAAATATGAAATAATAACTGACAGTAACACTATTATTCATGTTGGAACCAAAGGAATGGCTGTTGCACTATGTACAATGACCAAACTCTCTACTCTGAGATGCCATTGTATTTCCTCTTCATATTAATTTTGCACATTGAGATATGGCCAACAATTACACTGTGGACGTAGGGGCAGAAGTTCTTATCAATCAACCATTATTCGATGAAAGGAACATTGTCAAATTAAATTTTATGCCCATAGGTGGGCATTCAGCATATATAGAAGGCCAGTAAGGAAGAAAAAGGGTGATTAAAAGAACAATGGTACCATATGAAATGAAAAGCAAAATATGAATGATGGAGAAAGAAACAAGAGAGCCTTCCAGAGAAGGATCCCCCATCAGAATGTGGACTGTCTCATATCAAAGGAAATCCAGAAGAAATGTGGCCAAACCATTCATGGCTACAAGTTGATTGCTTAATTAAAAACTGGTGGTTTCACAAAGCCTCACTATTAATTAAACAACATATCTAGTTTTAATATTCACAAGTTAGGGGCAAAACTACGTATAATAAAGAAAATGTATCATTTTTTCTCATTTTAAAAAGATAAAATGTATTTTTAAATAATCACTCACAAACAATTACTGATGGAGCATAGATTATCTGATTCAATTTTTCAATTTATCTTTGAGAATCATCTAATACTTTGTTTTCTCTTTAAACAAAATTGTACTACACACGTAAAACTTACTCTATAAAGTTGACCCAAAGCTGGGCAAGTAACAACACCAGTACTGCCAGGAACATCCAAAGAGAAACATTGGGACCAATTCCCATCAGCAACTTGAATAGCTGCTTTCATATTACCCGAAAATGAAGGAAACATAACAGCAGCTCTAGCATCACCTGATTGATGAGTTACTAAAGCAGAACCATCTGACAGCTGTAAATATCACACCACTAAGTGTTAATTTAGAAATGTGAATTTCATTAAACATTCTAGAATTAAGTTTAGTTTTGCAGCAAACAAAAGTCAGCATTTCCTCACCTTGTAGGACAAAGGCAAACCAGTTTTATTTAGTATCCAGTAGGGACTGTACAAAGTCACTATAAACACTCCTTGCTTTTTTACTGCATGTGCCCCAATGGATAAAGACATATTCCTTTCATTTTTGAATATAAGAACAGAAAATTCTGAAGATTCACAAGCACTCAAAGAAAACGTACAATGCCAGGCTTCTTGTCGATAATCAGGAATCTGAAGTACAATATTTGAAATGTAAAAGTTAACAAATAAAAATGTTTAGTTGAATTACCACAATTAACAAAGTCTTTCCTCTTGCCATTCTTGTGGCATTTACAGTAGGTGAATTGTTTTCCCACTTCAATAAAAAAAAATTTGAAAATCTCACACTATCATCAATGATTATTGAATTTATTACTGAAACAAACTGTACTACAACACAATGTTATAGTATATCTAACAGATATAACTTGTTTATTTATATCAAAAGATATTCTACAAATATTTAAATTATCGTCCTAAAATTTAAATTTCTGTTCACCAAGGAACCTAAACCTGTGCTCAAAGAATAACACACAATGCCTAATTTCTAACATGTTTTCAAATTAACTTCATATAAAAAATTAAAACTTTGGGAGGCAAACAAATTAATTCTTTTATTGAAGTTAATTAAACACTTGAATAAAAGAACGCCTCAAAATTTCAACAATATGAACACTTTTACATTTAAAATGTCAGTCCCAGTTCCATTTTTTTCTAAAATAATAATAATAATAATAATAATAATAATAATAATAATAATATCAATGTATTCTATAAAACATCAAGTCTTCTCTGAATTTATGATGACACCCTAATTTTGAACAGGCCTCCTAAGAAATTTTAAAATTTATAACTCTCTTACTTTTTAGTCAAAATAAAATTCCAAATTGTCTTATTGACTAGAAATTGCCTTGTTGATGAGATATTCCATTTAGTTATAAGTTGAAGAGTTCTGTTTGGTTTGAAAATTAGCAGTGGTGTATTAATTTATTATCTAGAAAGTAAATCCATGACATTTAAAAAGCACTGTTGTTCTGTCTGTAGACTATTATTATGTTCTCAAAAAATTGAATAAATGTATAGAAACATTACAGGAACTATATGACACTTTGAGGTTATGCAATTTAAAATTCAACTTAGCAATGTGTAAATTCCGCATTGACAACCGTTGGAACATCAAAAATTTGAGAAAAAGATGTTCAATTGCAAGTACAGAATAATACGTTATCACCTCAAAATGGGTATAAATCCTGATGGATTTAAATTATGCTATGTATATTTACATACAAACAATGATATTTATAAAAGCAAATTATTAAATGGGTGTCACATGAGACTTCTTGATTGATCAATAGGGGATTTGAAAATGGTTAAAAAAAATTTTTTATTTTTATTTTGATTTTGATCTTATTTCCATTTATCATTTGAGGACAATGTTCTATGATCATTGTGTTGTACAACCCATAAGGAGTTGTATTAACTAGAGACTTCAGGAAACAAAAATTCACAAAACTCACCTGTATTGACAACTTGCTATCATCAGGGCGTGCAGTAGCAATATTTAATCGGTCACCTGGAGTCAGTACATGTATAACACTTATCTCTGGCTGAGATACAGTTATTCCAACAGGTAACAGATTTTTCAGTTTGACTGCTGGTTGAACAAATAGTTTATAAAAAATACTATTAGATCCTTGAGTGTTACTATTCTTTGAATATGCCTGATGCTTTTCTCTTATAATCTGTAATTAAAATTAACTCGGATTAAATTTATAAAATTTATAACAAACAATGGTTTTTGTGAAGTTCATCCCATACGATGATAAGTGAATAATGATTTTATTAATATTATTTCTTTTTTAATTTATTTATATTAAAGACCTCAAAACCTGATGAATGTTAGGGGTCAAACGTTGTTTGAGTGTAGAAAGGAAATGAAAATTTTTCATATTTATTGAGGTGGCTTCTCAGAGGTCAAATTAACATTAATAAATTTGTCTGTCTGTTGAAGGTTGCAAATGATAAATGAAATGTCCAATTATTTAAATATATTACTAAGCTACCTTAATGTTATTTAAAATCATATTTCATAATTAACAAAAATCACCTACATTTTTTAAAAATATAAGTGACAATTACTTAAAACTGAATATTCATTACATGTCTTTAATCAATAATAACAAACATCAACTTTACCCTTAGAAAGACAGATTCCTTATTGGAGCGTTGAATAGATTTACAATCATGAAGAACAGACATTGTCAGAGAAAAGTCTTGAGACCATGCGTATGGAATTTTCTTGTATCTGTGAAACATTAAAAATATTTAAAACAGGCAAACACCTTCATTGATTTTAGATATTGTCCTTCATTTTTTTCATCAATATTAAGGTCCAAAGGAAGATTAGCCAATATTCGTCATTTCTCCACTTAAAACATACAAAGAAAGATTTTTTAGGTCACACTATTTAAAGAAAATGAAGTCAGCCTAAAAGCCTACACTAATTGGTCAGTTATCACATTTTATTGTGAGAAAATACAAATTAAATATTTCCTCAACAAATAAAACTGAAAGAAAAATAAATAATAATAATAACTAATAATTATAATAATATTCTAATGTTTTTAATGAATAATATCTAGCTTTCTCTTCTTCTTAAGTCTCTGAAAATGCTACCTGACTTCTATCAATTCTTTTATAAATGCCCGTATTTTTCCCCAATTTTTCAAGAGCAATGAAATTTTCTGATTTTCCCTGGATTTTAACATTTGCAAGAAAGTGACCACCTATATTATTGTGCGAGTTCAGAACCCACCCAAAACTATAAAATATTTACGGACCACTAAACCTAAAATATTATGCACTTCTTCAAATCATAAGACACTTCAATTGGAAATCAAACTGGGGCTTCCTAGTTGATGACTAGTTGCTCTTAAACTTGAATTGGATTCCTGATTGAGGTGTCTTGAATAATTTCCTTATTTAACTTGGTTTCATGGTAACAAAATTATGATGTGAATACCAATTACTGAGCAGAACAAATCTTACATGGCATATGGCTTGCCATAAACGGGGACAGCAGAGATAATAAATACTAAAATATCACGTTTAATTAAGTCTTACTGATGATCAATAACACTTAAACCAAGACTCTTTTTAAAGAAAGAAGGCTCACCCAGGAACACTTATGTGCAATTCTCTCATAGGCGTGTACAATGAATAGAAGGGCAAATCGATATGCTCTCCAGAAGGAACCGTATCAACATATTTCAAATCTGAGTTGATTTCAGGTTGATAATGAATATCAATAGGCATTCCCAAGTTATTAAATACCTATAAAAAAAGGATTAAATTAAAATTCTGAAAAAGAAAATGAAACAAAGAATGAAAATAGTAAAACAATAAATACATACTTGTACAACACTTCGTAAAGTCACTATTGTGCTTCCTGATTCAACACGAACATCTGATATAAGCCCCCAATCTTGACCCAAAGGAAAATGCCTTTGACCAGCTTGCACCACTGGTAAATCCAAAGCATCACCCAAATCTTCAATCTAAAATATAATTATTGATTACTTCAATAGTGCAGTGTTCAATGCAATTCACAGTCAAGAAAATAATTCATAATTACCAAAACTCTTAAATATTTCTCTTGAGCCTGTCCTTGAGCTAAGAGGCTCATTGGTGATTGAAGGTCAATTTGATCTTCCACTCTTAGTGGTACACTTTCCCCAGGGACTATAAATCGTTTCGAAAGGCATTCTTCATTACTCTGCCTACATTCCTAAAGAAATCATAATAAAGAATTTATTTATGGGAGTACACAATATACACAAACAGCACTAACACTAAATTTTCTAAGAAGCTCATTGGTTATTGAAGAAGTTTAGGTGACTGTAAGAAATCTTCACATTCTACTTTCACAATAGCTGAATAATGGGCAGAAACATTAGAGAGTCTCTTGTTGCATAATTCGTAACATTCAAATTTCCAATATTTGTGATACCTATATGAATTTAGGTAAGGTAAAAGAAGAAGAAATAGAAGGGAAAGAAGGATTTAGATGTTTCTTCTCTACACTGAATATCTTCAGTAGTTGTGTGGTTTGGGGGCAAAGCAATGCAGCCACCTGTCCTAAACCAGATTGTTAATCGAAAACCATACTATGATGATGGTACACTGATGATAGCCACTGTAGTTATAGTCAAAATGTCTGGAAGCACTTTTTCCATTCAACCACGGCCTATCAAACAGCAATAAAAAACAACAATTCTAATGATGCCAGCCAAGAAAAAGATTTCATCGCTGGCATCATTAGGGTTTTTGTTTTCATTTTTCCCTGATAAAACATCATTATCAACTTGATGAATATGCAAACCAAACTCCAGAGGAAGAAAATACAGAACAAGAATGACGTTACGAAAAGATGTTACAAACAATCTAACAACAGATATTTTAGGTAAGAAAAAACATGGAAACAGGAAGAATGGGATGAACACGTGAACAGAAAAGATTAGCAAGGAAAAAAAAAACTATCTAAAATAACTGCAGCATCCATCACATAAAAATTAGTTAGAATATACAAACGAGTGGTGTTACAACAGCACATACTTTCTTGCCATTATTTCTAAATTTGTAATTTTTAACAATACAGAGAATTCAATGAAAATGAGACTTGTAACATTCGTTTAAGTGTCCCTTCTATCTTTGGAAAAAATTAGAAGAAAAATTTTCAAGTGGTTTTTGGGAAAATGTTTTCTTTTCTTTCACAAATTGTATTAATTTCAAGCACAAGTTATTTGAAAACTACTTATTTCTTCAAAAAATTTTATGTGACTTTTTAAAAGAGCTGATTTTTACAACCAACTTTGTCTAATGGAAAAAGTAGTTTTACAATTTATTTATTGAATAAAATTAATGGATGATACCCTTTACATAGTAAAAATACAAATTCAAAAAGAATTGACAGAGTAAAGCATGTGAAGCAAGTGTATAAAATATCAAAAAGTTCTCATGGCAGAAAGTAGTACAAACATAGCGCATAAGAATGAAAATAAAAGGAAATACAAGCTTTCAAATTTCACATAATCTGAACTAATTACAATGTCTATTCAACCTTCGAAGGCATTATTTCCAGTTATCGAAAATCATAGTAAGTGCCCAAGCTATTCGCCAAACCACAAATGCAATTCTCATTAATGCAATAGTTAGCATTTAGAATTGTCAACTAAAATGAAAATCGCTCTCCTAAAGATTCGCGTACTCTAAATGGTACGAAAAAAAGAATGTCTGCACAATCTATTCTATCCAACATAATATTACGTGGGAAATAAATATGCTTTCTTCTACAAACATTATTTAATTTAGATCTTAGAAGAATGACCTCATTGTCAGGTAAAATCTATGGGCAAAAACATGAAGGAACTTGTGTTGAACTCCTTCAATGGCTAATATTCTAAATTTTGCATGAGTTCCCAACAGGCGATGCATATTTGAGAATTGGTCCAACAAGTACTCGATAGAGAACCAAAAGGGTCACAGCAGATCAAAACTGCATTGAGTTCCGCAAGACCATACCCTATATTTTCAGTGCCTTAGAAATAATGCCCTGAATATGATTCTCAAAAATCAGCTTACCATCAAACGTGACACCCAGGTCACTTATATGATCAACTTTTCAGATAGTTTCATCTATATTTTATTATCTGCTATTATTTCATTCCTTTTTCTAGTAAACGACATAACAAAGCATATCCCCACATTTATCCTCATATCATTTTCCCTGCACCATGTCAGCAAATTGCAAATATCTTGCTGGAGCAAAGCAACATCTTCATCATTAACAATGCTACACAATTTCACATCGTTCACATAAAGCAGACATTGATTATCAGACATATACCCTGGTAGGTCATTTGTAAAAAGATTGAACAGTAGGAGCCCAAGACATGAAGCTTGCAGAACTCCACTAGTTATATCAAATAAACCCAATGAATACCCAATGAAAATGTTATCTTTTTGCAGTTTGGTGAAAAAAACGGAGAGTTTGCCAGAAATGGGACTAGCACCATATTTTTTGACATCCCTTGATACATATGAGGAGAAAATTTCTTTAAAACATTTTTAGCGATTTTTGAGAAAAAAATTGTTTAATAAAATTATTTAAATGTTTGTTGAGGCTACCCTCAAAAATCAAAATATCAACTTGAAACTCCCAACTCTTTGAGTTGCTTCGAATTGATGACAGTATATCAATTTCAGAGAAAATTGGCACAACGGTTTAGGCGCTAGCGTTGATGGACAGACAGATGTTTTGCTGTCAATTGATTTCTCGATATCAAGGACCCACAAAATATGGTTTCTGCCTACACCATGTATAAATGGAATATTATAGGAAGTAAATTACTACATACAAGAACAGGATTTATTCACTTTTTCTTTACCAGGGCTGCACAATTACAGTTTTTCTGTCGAAAATTCGCTGTGTTCCAGTGCACAAATACAAAACTTTCTCTCCTTACATTCTTAAGGGCAAGAAAGTAAAAATCCACTGAAGTGAAAAGACTTAGTACAAAGCTACACAATGAAGAGGTAGAACAAATTTTTGACAAAAACAGAAATTGATGTTCATGGCACACAATTATTTGTAAGGAAGATTGTAAGGAATTGTTTACATTTTAAACAAAGAAAAAGACCCAACAGGTATCAACTTACTAAATAAAAAGGATAAAACGAATTTCAAATATAATGATTTCACTGACATTGAGCAATCACTTTTTTCTTGTTACTTAAAAGCATCATAATCATGTTTTTTTCACTACCCTCTTCATCTTCACATGAATCATTGGTTCTTTCTGTTTGGTCCTCTTCCCATTCTTCAACATTCTCAGGCAATCGAAGACCTCTGGCAGTTCTGAATGTTAAATTTGCATTCTTAGTCTTTCTTCTGATGCCACCGAAGACATTCCTTTCTGTTTCACGATATTTTCTTCCTGTCCTGCTCTTATTTGTGGTCTCTGATTCTTTAACTGTGAGCACATACATCGCCATTTCACAGGTAACAAGGGAGATACTGCCAAGTTTCGGTAGCTTTCGGTAAAATCATTTTTTTTCATCCATTTTTGTGGTTGGATGTAGAATGTGTACTTCTATCAAGATCATTTTTTATCATCCTTTTTTTGTGGTTGGATGTAGAATGTGTACTTCTCTCAATATACATTTTTTGTCATTTCCATCTCTTACAAAAAGCAATTTGCACTCACCAGGCATTGAAACCAGTCTCCAAGGCCTCAGCAATCAACACACAGGGTAACAAAATCTCAATAACCCTGTGTTACATTTGATATTATCCCATTCTTTTTAAGATTCTCTTTGCCGAAGCGAAGCAAAAATAATGGTGAATGCTGAAAATATGTCTGCAAAAAATTAGGTATAAGAGATCGGCATGCCATTTTTATCATGTCTTAGCAGCTGATTGTTACATCAACATTGCAAAGTTTTGTGACAGGGAAATGTAACAAAAACATAAATCATAACATAATACGATTAATTTGCAATCATAAGGTGATCCCATATTTTAAAATGATATATTTAGGAGAAAATATCCTCTTATATTTGAGTAAATAAGGTATACTGACAAAATTGTATGACTATACTTTATACTTTCCAGATGGAAAAATAAAGTTAATAATTGTAGTTTTGATTTTAATACTTCTGACTACACAGCGATACTGCTCTTAGCAAATAACCCAGTGATATCCTTGAACCGTGAAGTCTCCAGGAGGCAACCAATTCATTCTATACTCAGTGGAAGACTTATTATGGCAATATCTACAAAAAATATTAAAGTGATGCATTTTGTGGAATATTCCACTCATGGATTATCGACCAATAGCATTTCAGTATTCATCAGACATCAACCAATCAAAAGTCAAACATTCACCACAAAGATTATCAGTTTGAGATCATCACTTGCATCTTTCATATCCAAGGAAAAAATTTCATGTCATTTTTTGAAAATAATTATTTAAAATTTACCTATATTTCAAAAAAATGCCCACTACCTTGTGTAAAGATTTAACAATGAAGAACAGATTTCATTACGGAAAAAATCTTCAATATCGTCATCACAGGAAGTCACTGAAGAAACGTTTGCAATTTTCGAAAATTCAGAGTTAACGAAAGAATAAAGAATGAGAAAAAAGTGAGACATGGACCATTCTTTTTAAGCATACTTTGCTTTATCCAAGAAAAAATTTAATTAAATAATTTAGAGACTGTTTGAGAACATTTTGAAAAAAAGTTTGACGCTTCAAGTAACCCCCAAAACCAAATTTTCATTTCAAATTCGCAGGGCCTGGAGTTCAGGCAGTTGTGATTTTCTCTTGCAGTTCCAAATTGGACAACTTGTATAAGGTGCATTCACAAAGTTTCAAGGCTGTTTTCGTCCTGAGTAAGGGTAACTTTGTTGTGTCTATACACACAACACGTCTCCTAGTGCCTAAGAGTGTTGAGCGCACCTTGGAGTAATCCTCTGTTAATTTCTATTATAGGAATAATGGTGATCCTCCTTTATTATACACCCAGCACCCTCTAAGGGGCCGCTGGTATAGTCAAGTCACGTAAGTCACAGTCAAGTCAGGGAATCGCGAATAGGTAGTGTCTTCGCACCCAGCATCAACTACCCATCGACCATATGCTTCACAAGGGTTGGACTAGCCCCTGTGAATCATGCTAACTCCTTTTGTCGTAACAAATTTCACACAAGGTTCTACGGGGATTCTACGGGAATCGAAACTTGAACCTCAGTGGTGAAAGGCAAGCAACTTCGCCAATGAGCCACAAGAGCACTGTGGAAGAGTGTGCAGGCCATTTCCACTGACAGAAAAAGTAGCTAACCAACCACACCAGTGGCAGTTGCCTCGAAGACACCGGAGTAATCAGATTGCTATTGGGTTTTGTGTCAGTGACCCCCTTCGAAAACACAAGGTCATTTGGACAGGATTATTCAATAAAGTTCTGTGGGAAAGTGAATAAAATTGTTAGAGAGACTCTTGGTATGATTATAGAGAACTATAAAAAAATAGTCATGTCACAGGCAATTATTTCAGGAGGTATAAAAAAAGGTTCAAAGATGTTAGCGAGGATGTTGAAAATGCTGGGACCATGCTGAAATGACTATGACCATGCTGGGAGACCTTCAACAAGCCAAATTGATGAAAATTTGGAGAAAGTGTGTGAACTTTTAAACACTGATCATTGTCTTAATATTAGATTACTTGTTGATGAACTAGGATTTCCACTGGAGTGCTCTACCACTTGAAGGATCAAGTGCACCACATCCACTTGGAGATCAAAGACGATTGGGTTCTTCACCATGCCAATGTGCCCTTTCACATGTCTTTCACCGCTAGTCAAGGCCAAGTTCAACACGACAACACAGTCACAGCTACCTAGCTCCTAGCGACTTCTTTTTGTTCTCCTTATTCAAGGGACCTGAAAGGACAGTGATTCAACATGACTCCAGTGGTCAAGGCATCTTCGATGATGTCCTTTGACAGCCTTCTGCATGAAGGATTCCAGGTAGACTATGAGCAATGGAAAAAATACTGGCAGTGGTGTGTATATGCCCAAGTGTCACATTTCAAAGATTTTTAATTCACTGTATATTTTTTTTTCTTTTCTTTTCTTTTTTTCCTGAGACTAGTCCTGAAACACGGTGAACACCTCGTATTTTCATAATGTACTAATAAACACTAAAAAATACATCACATTCTCAAAATTTATTAAAATTAACACAATTAATGCATTATTAACAGTCATTTTTAATTCTGTGTCTGGTATAATTGAATAATCCAAATGAAGTTAGTATATTCAATATCATAAAAATGCTGTAGCAATTAAATGGTCTAGGATCAGCAAATATACCTAACAAAAATGGAGCTCAAAGGGTTAATGAAGCTCCATCGAGTTATAGTTTTTAGAATTGGGTGTTTAATAACTGTTTTCAAGTAAAATGAATTATTAAAAAATCAGTCTTTTAAATATATGGTTATCTCTTGTTATTCCAAAGCCACCTATACTATCTCAATATTACAACTCGTATGCATTATTTATTGAAAGGTTTGATAAATTAAATTCACAATATTAATTTTAATTAATAAGTCGATTTGATTTGTGAAATAATCTTAGGAAATTCCACTCATACCTTGGAAATTCTCAGATAAATTCAAAAGCAATCATGGTATTACCTATGAAAATACCTAGCAAGATCAAACATTCAAGTTGAAAATGTAATGATACACCAAGTAAATTAATTAATTATTTTTCAGTGTCACACAATTTATACAGGGTATATCAATTAGAAAGATACGATTAAAAAAAGTACTTATTTAATTGGAACAATTAGTCAGTATCTGCAAAACAAAGTTAGAAAGGACACACTAAAAATTTTACTCAGTAATGTCTGTACCAACTCTCCGATATGGAAGTGAAAGTTGTTGGGTAATGAGCAGAGAAGTAGGCTCTAAATGACATTTCACACATGCAGCAGAATAGAGAATGTCAGATCACAAACATCCAAAATGAGCAAAATATTACAGACATCAATAAGAAAGCTGAGGAGTGGATGAAGAGGTACATTGCAGACCTTTTGCAAATGAGCCAAGTAAGACAACCCTTCTCTTCCAGTTCTAGATGCACAAGTTTCTTGGTGGGAAAAGCTAAGTAGATCTCCTACAAGATGGGGGAACAAATATAGCTGCTACAGGCAAAATACATGAATGCCTAATGCATGAAAGATGTTAATGAAAAAAATTTCAATAAAGCACAACGTCAAGAATAAAACAGACATTTGTTTTCTAATAAAATTATATCATTTCGCCCAACATGCAATTTATCACAATAGATTACATGATAAATTATTCAGTAATTTTAGGACATTTTTAATTGAAATATATTTGTTCACTAGAACCTTAAATGATCCAACACCCAGAAGAAGTGACACTGCAATTCCTGTGTGATTAATGACGTGGTATGGTGCAGGTGGCCCTTCTCGCTGAACTTCATCTCCTGCTAACTGGAAAGCCTGTCCCAGTCCTGTCAACACTTCCAGGCATGTCTTGGTAACAGTAAGCTCCAAGCTATCCTGAAGGGTAAAGATTATTAATTTTGTGTGTATTTAATAAATCATTCCTTTTTAATTAAAACTTTTAATCAAAAACAAAGTACAGTTACCTGAGACTCTATATTAATCCTCATTGATGAATGTTCAACTCTCCCAGTATCCCCTTCATTATCTGTTTCCAGAGAGTTCTCAAGCTCAATCTGTATTAAAAAAAAAAGTAACAGGACATTTTAAAAATAAATACAGTAAAGAATTGAAGATTCTCAAAATACAGACAGCTGTATTCAAAATTACGTATGTAACTCGAGGTGAACATTTATTTCACAACACTTCAAAGGCTGCAAAATATTTTAAGATCTTACCTTTGCCAAAAGTTCCCAAGGTTTATGAGAAGATTTCCCAAAATGAGTCACTTCAACTGGCTCCACAAGAGGTTCCCATAAAGCAAGATGACTGTTATAATAAGCCATTTGTAGAGACATGGAACCGTCTATAATTAGCTAGAAAATAAAGTAATCAAGTTATTCATGAAGACACAGTAAAATCCCTTATTTACACTTTTCAACGGACCTATGAAAAAAAGTGCAAAAAATGCAGCAAAGTTGAAAAATTATAGGCTAGGTTTACTTTCATTATTTACTGCAATGATGACTCTGTTTTTACTTTCTCCCCCTTTGTTAGAAGAGAAAGTAAAACCTTGCGGTGGAAACGGCAAATTTTTCCAGATAAGTCTCTTATGGAAATGGGAGGAGGAATTTTGAATCAAGCATGATATGATATACACAATATGTATCCAAAACTTGATTGAGGCTTACTTAGAGTTACTGGTTACTACAAATACACTCAAATCTTTTGGTATAAGCTGTCACTTTCTAAAACGGTTTATCTGTTTTTGTCAGGCAGCTATTGGTGAAATAAGAAAATTTTGCTTTAGACAAAATAAACTGCCTCAAGGCTTTTGTACAAGTTACCCGCAAGTCCCCTGTCGCTTTTGATAATAAATATACAACTTCTCAAAAAAATGATTTATTGTACTGGACCACAATCTTCCACGTAATATTTTTATGCATCATCAGGTTGAGGAAAAATTAATACGTTTATATCTGAAAATGCACAACCAATTTAGATGGTATTGTTTAGAATAAAAGAACTAAAATTAAAATTGTAGTCATCAGAGATGAAAATGTGTAGCAAGTACAAAATAAATATAAATAGATGGGAGAGAACTTACCAAAACATAATAAATTAAGCAAAACTTTCACAAAAATTTTAAAAAATTAAAAGGATAAATCCAAAAAACACAAATAAAGGAAGAAATTCCCACTGTAAATAGTATTTGGTCGCTTCAAGGAGAAGGACACAAGATAATGAGCCCACAAAATATTCAATATTAATCTCTGCGACATCACATACAAAACAACATAATACTATTCATACCATGTTGGAATCAAAAATATTCACAAAAGTTTATGACAATGTTCTACCTAAAATAAGAATATTTTGAAACATTTTTATACTTTGTGAAATGTTCCGTTTGCCATTATTTTTATATGTGTAGGTCTGTTTTGATCTGTTTAATCATCCTTCCACCTCTTATAATACTCATTTTTTTACTTCATTGCATTGTCGTCTTTTTCAAATTATAACAACCACTTTGTATGTGAATCTTCTCCCTCTCAGTTTATTCTTGTGTACTCCTTAAAGCGAGGATTATGTTTTTACAAAGGAATGTTAGAATGGGAATGGCTAAACTTCCATTCATACCTTCGAACTCCAATCCAACGCAATAGCATTTATGCCAGCTGTCAGCATGATCATAGGCAAAGTACAAGAACCAGCTCCAGCTTCTACTGTCACCGTGAGAGAAGGCATTTTCAAAATACAGACTTCCCTTGTTTTCTGTGGCTCAGACTTTGGGTGACTCGGTTTTTTAGTGACCTCCAGGGCTTCTTCTCCAATTTCTATTCACACAAATTGTAGTAGTTTTTATACATTTAACACCAAATATCTTAGCATAATTAATAATAGCACTTTCTTTACCTGTTTTCAAGAACCAGTGACTGGAACTGTTTATAGACTTTGGAATCCATATATCAGAATAGTTTACTTCAGTGTTTTGATCTTCTCCAATATTCTCTTCCCTTGAATAAGCAGCTGTTATTACGCGACTCAGAAGATTTATTGTACCTAGAAAATGAGTACACTAAAAGTGAAAGAGGAAAGAAAGAAACAACAAACATATGCAACCAACCACCATACACAAGAAACAAACAACTTTCAAAATAAAACATTACCTGGAGAAACTCTCAGCCGAATGTTAGAAAATTGTACTTCAAAATGAGTTGTTGACCCTTCTATCTTCATGCTACATGGCTGTACAATCTGAAAGCACACCATCATATGACTTTTTTTAGTCAATCAAAAACTACATCTCACTATTATAAGGTTAAAAAACTAGGTGCTACAACAGCACATACTTTCTCACATTACACTAGGGAACAAAATTTTTAACTCCAGAAAAATAGTGTGCAATGTACTCAAGATTATAGGTAGATTAAAAATATCACAATAAAAATGCTTTATCACATTTTCAAAATTTTCTAAAAAAATGCCTCCAAATTCTTTCTTTAAATTTCTTGTAAGAATATAGTAAACACAGATGTAAAGGGAGCACAGGTCACGGTTAACACTGAATTTTCGAAAATTTCAAAAGTTTGAATTTATTTCGAGGTCTTCCTACAACTACAAAATTAAAGATAGAGAATTTTCTCTTAAATGAAATTTATTGTCCGTAATTTGTTCTTTCATTAAGGCCATGTACACTTTTTTAAAAATTGTAGTAGTTTTCGTGCAATACTGCAGGCAATTAGTGCAATTTTAAAAAATTACAAAAACAAGATTCCAATTTTTTTTTTCCTTCAAACTTTTTGAAAGGCTAGTGCTAATTGCACTTTTTAATATGATGTGAAGTTATTTTTGGGGAATTTTTTTTTTTTTGCTACAAAAATTACTAGTAATTTTTTTGCAAAATCTCTCATGCCAGTAATATGCTCATTTTAAGCACTATTGTATTTGGGAGTTTCAAATAGGAAACCAGAAAAATAAGAAAACGTCAAAAAAGGTACTTTGGGCGGCAATTGATGGCAGCAGGCAAGAGTATGTGGAAAGTTCGAACAACTAGCTCAGACCAAAGGAAATAGAAAACTTACGGGAAAGTCTGTACCATTCTGTAGCAACATTATCAAATCAATTCAATTCAACTTTTCTTACTTTTTGTATTCGAAGATTGCCGTCTTTATTTTCATGACTGGTAGTCACGCTCAAATATGTCTAGGTCTTAGTAGATGTTTCGAACACAAGTCACGTGCACCCTTATATTTCCTATTGTGTATCAGTCACTGAAAGAAGTTATTTCAGCTTCTTATCATAAATGTACAAATATCCACATGTTATGGTGGCAGATTCTGACAGTCAGTGTCATGCAGAACTGTACCTTCAGTGCGTGTGAAGTTCATGTATGGTTTGCGTGTGCCTCAGATATATTAATACATTACAATTCTGTGAGTTTTATAAAATGTTATTTGCCACATGATCAGTTGAATTGAATTGATGTGATAAAATGCAAATCATCATATCACATCAAAAATGTGTGTATTAACACGATAACTTCTGTTACCCTTGTGGAAGATTGACACCCAAACTTCATAGGAAAAAAATAGATGAAATTGCAAAACTTGCATATTCTTTATACTTTGGCTGTTGTGTTTGTGATCAGGGCAAACCATGCTGGGCTGCTCATCAATGTTGTGTCACCTGTACAATGAACCTTAAGTTGTGTTTGTAGGGAAAACTCAAATTATTGTCATTCGTTGTACCAATGTTGTGGAGAACACTAACAAATCATTTTAATGACTGCTACTTCCTGATGATAAAGATCTCTGACCTGTGCAGATCAATTATCAATATAATTATTCGGCCATGCGACTTGTGTCACATGATGAATTACCAGTGCCCATATATACGGAAACAAGATCAATAAATCATGAAGAAAACTCTAATGAATCTGAAGCTGTGTTTCCACCAGAAACAGAACCCTCCACTCCAAAAGATCAAGAACTCAATACAATGGCGATTTTTCAATAAATTGAGAACTTTATTGTAATGCTTTTGCACAGATAAAAGAAAAGTGATATTTGAAAAAACTAATCAGACTGCAATCTTAACTAATACACTCGCATACTACAAGAAGCAAATTTTGTTATTTGGAGAGGAATGCGACAATGACAACAAAATATCTATATTTCAAAACAACAGTGTTTGAAATTAAAACGCTCATGTCAATAATACATCACCCCAAAACCATGACTGTTTTTTAAACATTAATGTTTTGAAAACTGCTTAAGTGAAATTAACATTAATGTTAGTATGGGGAGGTATTTAATCTGACATTGGCCATGATTATTAATTCAGATTAATACAATAAACCAAAGAAAAATTAAAATTAACAAAACTGATAATCAGATTCTACAAAAACAATACACTTAATTTATGGATGAAAATTCGACTTTCTTTTGATACTTGGACTTCAGACAGAAAGAAATTTCAAATTTTCAGAGATGTGAAAAGTAATAGTATTTGGTTATTACACAATTTTTTTCTAATTCCTAAATAAAACATCAACAAAGTAAAAACATCAAACCTAAATCGCTCCATGTTAAAAAAATCTTGGCCTCAATGAATCAATCTTAAAAATATCAATATTTTTAAACAACACTGATGTTCTGAAAACATTCACACCAATACCACGTCTTGTATTTTGGATGGCAATTCAACATATGATAAGTCAACATTTTGAAGAATAAGTTACATTTATCCATTCATCAATACTGCTTTCCTGTTCCTGTAGTGAATAGAATGCAAAAAGTTGCAATTTATATTTAATATTTTTTTCCGCGCAAACTCAAAAGGATACTAGTGAATTACGGAAACCACAGTTATGCAGCAGACATAGTCTTTTATTCAAACAACAAAAATTTTCACTCCTTTTGAGGACTCCTTTTATGAGTAAAGTTGCTACATGTGATTTATATAAAGTAAGTAAATGAATGTTCATTTCTTTTAAACACAAATTTCCCAAACCATTTCAACACATACAATAATATGAAGTAAATGATCTAGGTGAAGTATAATTTTTTCATAAGTTACCCAAAAATGAAAAGCACCAAATTCCTATTCAGAAGAACAATCATTAAAACTAGTGACGTACCTGTGACATGGTGCTTTTACGTAAGTCAGGATGATAACAGCAAGAGTAGATCTGCAATCCTTGGACAGTTCCTTGTACTTCAGTATCTGTCTGTGTCTGATAAATTCCACATCTGATGTCACTCTGTCAGCAAGAAATTATACATTTATTCAATTATTTATTCATTCCTTCATTCCTTACTCAAAATACAGTCTATACTAGCCCCAAACATAATACAGAGCATTAGTATATCAAAGTCTAATATAAAAGAAAATCAAATAAAAGTAATTCTCTTGCAAATTTTCTAAGAACCAAAAAAGACAAAGTATGAATATCTATTTTTGTTGCACCATCTCTATAGTCTGGGAACCAGAGCATAAAACCCAGATGACATCCTGTAAGGTCAAAGATACATTCATCCCAAAGCCTAAACGAGTATTAAAAATAAACCTAATTTCTCAAATCAATACAAACTATATTCTCATTAACTATCTTTTGCATTGACAACTGCTGAAAGGTAATTGATCATTCACAATCTCAGTAAGCAGGCTCACAGTTATCCAATCCATTGGTGATACCCATCATAGATATTTATGAGGGTCTTTCGAAGCTGGATGACATTAATGGGGGTGGTCCCGATGATGTGCCAAATGTCTTTCTTAAGTTGTGTCGTTGTGCATTAATTCGCCCACTATGGATGGTCTTTAACAAGTCTCTTCAACAATCGACGTTTCCCAGAAATTGGAAACAGAGTAAAGTCACACCCCTTTTTAAAATTAACCAAATTGTGGAAACTATCAACCCATTTCCACTTTGAACGCTGTAGCAAATATTTTTGAATACTTGGGTTACCAACCACATACTTGGAGTACTGAAATCCCTTATTATTGAGAACCAACATGAATTTATGTAATGAAAACCCACTGTAACTAACTTGGCCTTGCGACTTAGATAATTTTAAAGTAACTGGTGACGCAGAAATAAAATTACTTAAACAAATGTTCACAAAATCAACCCTCTCGAAGACATCACCCCATCACTTTTTTATATACAGTTATAGTGAGGCATATACTCAGATATAGTGAGCTGCCAGTATAGTGACTAGGCTACTATATGTAGGCTCCAAGTATAGTTGAGCCTCCAGTATAGTGAGCTCCAGTATAGTGAGAGCTCCAGTATAGTGAGCTCCCAGTATAGTGAGCTCCAATTCCAGTGATACTCGTATGAACTCCAGTATAGTGAAACTCGCAGTATAAGTGAACATCCCAGTGATAGTGAACTCCAGTATAGTGAACTCCAGTATATTTTGTGAACTCAGAGTCATTAGTGAACTCAAGTATACGTGAACTCAAGTATTAGTGAACTCGAGTAACGTGAACTCGAGTATAGTGAACTCAAGTAAATGAACTCACCGTCATAATGAACTCAAGTATATGAACTCAAGGTATAATAACTCAAGTATACATGAACTCAAGTGATAATTGACTCTAGTTATAGGGTAAACTTTAGTCCACTGGTTCCACTTCACTTACATAAACAAATAGAGCATACGAAATTCGGTTGTAGTGAATGTAAAATACAAGCATCTGGAAATTAAATCCTTCCTGAAAAAAGACTAATATCGCTCGTGCCAAAATTCCAACACTAGACACCTTGAAATAAATATCGTCCAAAGGTCATAATCGAAGAAGTCTTCCCTGACATGAAGGTAGCGGACCAGGAACATGCGACCTTACTGATGGCCTAATGCCACTCAGATTCCCTGAGGAAACAAAGGCTGTGCCCTGAGTAAACTACAACTGGCAGCGGCAACATGCAATTGCTTGCTTTAATTTTCTGTTTGTATTAAGTGGGTCAAAGAATGTTGATTCTGCAGGACGAAGCATGTTGATTTCTATGTAGGCAAAAGAAAGCACACAAATGTCACAGCCTGATAATTTCTGATAATAAAAGCGATCAGGTTCCTTAGCCACTTGCGCCATCCTGCTACCAATAGTATCTCCTATGTGATTAGGTAAGAAAAAGGGCTTTCGGAGAGTGGGACAGCGTTCCAACACTGCAAGAAGCATTGAAGGGTCTCAAGACTGCATTACGATACTTAGACACAGAGGGCAATACAGAATCAAGTATGGAGAGAGCATGAACTCTGGAATTTCTAATGAAAAATGTATAAAGCAAACAACTGAAAATAATTCATTGTTAAGGGCAAATAAAGATATTGAAATTTTCAGTTTGTGCTGTTAATGCATTTTGTTGTATCTCCAAAGTAAAATCAATCATTATGAAGAAATTCGATTTAATTTTGACATCATCAGATATAGTGAACCTCTGACATCATCAGATATAGTGAACCAAAAACCTTAGTCCCCAGAGGTTCACAATAACTGGAGTTAACTGTAGATTGAACAGGACAGAACTAAAGAAAGTTGACAGCATTGTTGATCTAGGAATCATATTTGATTCTAAATAGAATTTTAATCAGCAACTTAAGTGAGACTTTTACTAGAATATTGTTTGCTAATTTGGAAACCATCTACATACAAACTAAAATCTCATCTCGAACATAACACAAATAGACACAATTGAACAATCTGACTTTTGACCACATGAAGTTATAATGAGATCATTTCATTTTCAAAAATACAGAAGATATAATACCCAAAAGAGAAGAGGGAGCAACTGCTGGTATGGCAATAATCATGAAAAGTTCACAGAAACATAATATTGAAAATTACAGGTTCATTTCTCCAAGACTAATATTGATAAAACTCACAATAAAAAGAAGAAAATTAAATTTAATTGGAGTGTATGTATCAGTGGAAGGAAGCGATGAAGAAACTACAAAATTCTATCATACATCGCAAACTGTAATAGAGCAATGTGAGAAAAGCACTTCATAGTTGCTGGTGACTTGAATGCACGAATTGGCAGAGAAGTAATTTGCATTAAAGGAAGTGAGGGAGAAGGAATCACCAATAACAATGGGAAAATGTTAATTTATTTCTGTACATTTAATAATCTGAAAATTACCCACTCCTTTTTCCAACACAAAGATAAACACAAATGTATGTGGGAAAGAAGAGGAACAAAATCAATTATTGACTATGTACGAAGACCTACTCAGTAAAATAAAAGACACCAAGGTTTTCAGAGGAAGTGAATTGGACACTGATCATTACCCTCTTGAAAGCAAAATTAAAATCAACCCCCAACACTGCAAGAAGAAAGAGAAAAAAAACTTTAGTGAGACCCAAATTAAAGGTGCATCTATTAGAAGAAAAAAGTGTTAGATATTTATATGGAAAAAGACTTAAGGATAAACCGCAGAACTTAAACAAACAAAATGTAGAAATATTCTGGACAACTGTAAAACAAGCAATAATGGAAGCAGCTACAGAAAACTTAAAGTTATAAGACCAAAAAAGGAGAAGTGGATAAGATACTGGAATGAAGAAATACAAGAAATGTTAAACAAAAAGAAAGCCTATAAGAAATTCCTACAGACACAGAAACAAGAAGACTACATAACATATAAAAAGTGGAGAGCAAAAACAAGGTAAGAAACAAGAAGAATAAAAAGAGAAGACTGGAGGAAATATGTAAAATCAATAGAGAAAGACATCACTGGACCACAAAGAGTTGGCTTTAAGAATGAATGCTTGGGACTGAAACAAAGGACAAAGAGAATATACACCTAATATCAAAGACAGAGTGGATAAAACACTATACAAAATTGTGGAACAAAGACAACCACATATCAAACAAAAATATGACCTCAGATTTGGAAAATCAACCTATAGAATAAATAACAATAGAAGAACTTGAACAAGTACTTACAAAAGCAAAAAACAGAAAAAGACATGAAATAGATTAAATTAACATAGAGCTTTTCAAACATGAAGGTAAAGAACAAAGAGATTTTGATTTAACTATTTAACAAAATATGGACAGAGAATCTCACCCCAACAGAATGGCAAACACAATTGTTAACAAATATACATAAGAAAGGCATAAAACTAGACAGCAACAACTACAGAGGGATAACACTACTGCCGACCACCTCAAAATTATTTTCTAACATATTAAGGAATAGCATAGAAAGAGTACAGTGAAAACCTTATGGGTGAAGAACAATGTGGATTCAGAAATGACAGAAACACAAAGGATGCTATATTTACAGTACAAACTATATTAGACAAAAGAAATGAAGGAAACTTACCAACATATATGATAACAATAGACTTTGAAAAGGCATATATAAGGTGAACAGGGTAAAACTGTGGAAAATATTAGAAGAAGGAATACCAGAAAAATCAACAATGGACTCAACACTACATGGACTCAAAAATTGCCATAAAAATGAATAATAGGACCATCACAAAAATCACTTTACACAAAGAGGACTGAGACAGATTTGCAGCCTATCACATCACCTCACAATATTTATGCCAACAGTCTCATCAAAGAATGGAAGAAGTCAGTACATCAAGGTACACAACTTAACAAAAAACAAACTATACAAACTGTTTGCAGATGACCAAACAGTTTTGGCTGAATCAGAAGATGGAAAAAAAAAAAAAAAAAAAAAAAAACAAGAGCATTCCAAGGAAAGGAACTAAGAAGAGTTAAGATAGTCATTGAAGGGGAAATAATAGAGCAAGTATTAACATTGAAATATTTAGGCAAAGACATTGGTCTAAACTCCCAGGATCCCCAACACAAAATTTTGAAATGTAATAGAACAAATGGAATAATTAAAAGACACTTTGGGAAGAACATGACACAAGTAAATTAAGAATACACAACATGACAGCCAAATCAATGCTATTATTTGGATCAGAAACCTAGATCCTAAAACAAAGACTGGAAGCACCTCACACGAGTTCCTAAGACCCCTCCTTGGCTGGATCGACAAAGAAATAAAAACATAAGGAAAAGATTGAAGACAGTGAACAAAGTTAAAAGTTAAGAAGTAATGAAGTTAAAAAGAACCAGAAAAATGGCAGGAGCTTATTAAAAGATGAAAGAAGGAAGATTTCCAAAGGCTGCTATAAAATACAAGCCACTTGGACAGAGAAATATAAAGACCAAGAAAGAAGTGGATCACGCAGGAACACATGGAAGACTGAAGTATTTCAGGTCTACTACTCATCCATGAACAGGGCCCCCCCTCTGCCTTTACATCCTGCAGTTCACAATGATGTTGATGACGACAAAACAAATACTAGAAGCTTTTAGCACACAAAGCAGGAAGGCCTACAAAATGATTATTACATGACAATGTGTTTGCACTGGAGATGTCATGCCAAAAAACTTTTGAGCAGTGGTGCAGCATGAATGATCAAACATTCTTTTAAATTATTTAAGAACCCACAATTGCCCCCAGATTCTTTTATTTTATTTCATAATTTACAGCTAATAACCCTTTTACAATTAAAAATAAATCATTTATTACAAATTATTAGAAGTCTTGAACTAATTTGTACTTTGCCTATGATTTGAATAGACTTGCAGTAGATGACAATCAATTTTAACACATTTCTTAGATCACACACACACAATCAAATTGGTGCATTTTGAGATAGATTGTCTCCAAATCAATAATTCAAATGTCTTTTGGTTGTTGTTTCACAAATTAATCCTTGGCAATTTAAACAAAAGGTAGTATGCCTTCTAGTTCTGTATGTAAATCTGCCTTCTAGTTCCAGTGAAACCCGAAACAAATGGTACTTGGTTTTAAGGTAAATCTGCTTTTAAAGTGGTTTTAATTAATTCAGAATGACTTGTAAAATAAAATAAAAATATTAATGCAGGTACCATATACTTATAAAAATTTGTATTTACATATAAATCTGTTGGCTTATTATGTCAACAATGAAAATAATATCAATAATAAGTAGTAAAGTAACCTAGTCAAAACTCTTTACCTTTAAAACAAGAGAAGTTGTTTTTGGATCCTCCATATCTTCCACTAAAAATACATCTGGATTTTCAGCATGCACGAATAAAGAAAACATTGCTTCAGTAGGATGGTGCCCAGAAGGTGATGAAGCCAAATTACTAAACTGCTGAGAAACCGCTGATCGAATATCGGGTCCTTTAGGAGCATTATGTTCAGGTTGTTCAAATGCTTTAGATAGGAAATTTCCAAATTGCCGCAGGTACTCTAAGCTCAATACCAGATTGAAGCTGTACACATGAACCTTCACTGAAATACAAAATCATTAAACAAAAGAGAATAACACATCACTACACTAATGGTAATAAATGAAAAACAATCTGATCATGTACTTAACAAAATAAGAGAATACAGAGCCGTAACTTGAATAAATAATTATGTAACCCCAAAGTGCAAGCAGGTAAACTAGGCTAACTCTGGAGAAGAAATTCAGTATTTTGCTACGACATTATGAAATGAAATTTCTACATCATTCATGTTCATTTTCCTTCTACAGCATTCTGATGATACGTGAAGTACAACAGAAAACAAATATTTCGTTAACATTAGTTTAGTGCTATAAATTTTATTTTTGTGCTATAAATTATATTTTCTTTTATTGGTCAAATTAAAGAAGCACATTAATTTACAGGTAAGAATTACAACAAACACTTCTTTACACTAACTGCCATCACTCCAATTTCAGATCAGTTTGTTCTAAATTAGATTAAAAAAAAATTTTAAAAAAAATTAGCTAAGACATGAACCTTTTCAGAAAGAAAGTTCAAATACAAAATAAAATTTTGAAATTAAAAATGGTTGAAGAACTTCTTTCCAATACAAAACCAGATCAATAATGTTTATTTAGGAACTTCAGCTTTATGATCGTGGCATAAAAACATACTGATGAATGGAATAAGAAAAATTTACAAAAAAAAAGAACCCAACCTGACAAAATTTATTTAAAATACTAAAAAAATTTACTGCAGAGATATCGCAAAAATTAAATAGAATTATGAGTCTTAAAAAGCCTGAAATCTTACCATCAGTTGCTTGTCCCTTTTTGTGGTAGGTAATTTCCATGTTTCTTGTCTCTGGAATAGTCTTCTGGGGAAAATGCTCTTGTTTACTTTCCAGCAGTCGTGTTAATCTACTTTGCCTCTCCTGACGACTGTCATCTAACTGACAGTCTGTGAGTTGCAGGTTTGTAGAAATTGTGCCATCTTCTGCCATTGTGCCATTGATTACAAGTAAAATAAGTGAGCAACGAGCAAGACTGCTTTCCTTAGTATGTGAATCAGAAACAGCATCCAAAAACTTGAGCTACATATGGGAAAAACCTGTATTACACATTTACATTTGCAGTGGACTTCAAAAGTATTCTACAAATGTATGCTCAGTAAGAAAATCTAGCAGCTGGGTCAAAGCCCATAGGCTGGACCTACTTCCAGGGACAGCTGTTCAACAAATAGTACACTAACAAAAAGTACTGCAGTACACTAACCATTCTGTTTATTCAATAAAACAATTATATTTAAAAAAAATTACTGATTAAAACACTGATGAAGTGCATAGAGAATCTGAAGTGATTTTTCTTAACATATACACACCTACTTCAGGAGTGGTCAGTGGTGTAGCATGTGCCGTTTTTAATGAGAAAGCGTGATGGCATCACACAGAGCATAACAATTCAGAAGCACATAATTGATGTACCCATTCACTAAAATTCAGGCCATTTAAGCACTTGAAGACTGCAAAATTCACAGCACTAAGCAGTCCCATAGCAAGGCCTCTCTGATCTGTCATCTATTGAGCTGTTTTGTATTAGAAATTAAATAACTGGCAACAGATATTGCCAGTTAGTTATTTCACCATAGTTATAGTAGTAAGATAGCAGCACAATTGGACTTGAAATATATGTTCTACAATGTGAGAGCATAGGCTTCCGCGGCCGGAATCAGTAAATAAGTTCTACAATTTTAATTTTTATATATTTTTATAATTAACAAAATAAATTAATACTGAATTATTAATAAAAAACTTAATTTCAACATGAAATATTATTTTATGAATAAAATTTCAGGAATAGCTATTATCAATTTTATGTGGATGAATTTTAAACTTGACAAAATCATTCAAACAGATTTGTATATAATTTTAGTGCATAAATTTATACATTTTCTAAAATTAGATTACCAAAATACTTAACTAACTGTAATTATGCTTGGGAGAAGGGGTAGATTTTTTTTGCTCTGGAAACTCGAAAAGCTTACGTAATTTCACACAGCTATGAATGTGTACGCTTCCATAGGAGGAGTCTGTATTAGCTGGGTTATTTGGGATGAGCCACGTATCTGTTGTAGTGGCTGATGTTTCGACCAACATACTGTGATAACTGGACTAGATAAAAACACACAGCTGTTTTCAGCTCTAGCCACCACTGCCTACTCAAACATTTAACTTTTTGCAATATCCAACTCCAGCCACCAGTGCCTACTCTCAAATTTATTTTTAAAAAATCCAAACAAGTCATAAGAAGAGAGTTTTAATTGTCATTTTTAATTTATACAGCATTTAACCGTATGCTACTAAAGATGTCGCAAGTTACCTTAACAGAATATAATACATATAAATTCATAATTACAAAAGCACACTCACCAGTTTTGGTTTTTCATCAAACAGTTCCACAATTAATTTTTCCATTGTGAAAGAAAACAAAACAGACACACCACTTGTTTCTTTTTGCATTACTCCGGGTGTATCAATCTGAGCAGAGGCTGCGACAGCAACTACAAAAGCAATGATTTCACTTTAAGAATTGTAACTATACATTGCTGAACAATTAACAAATACTAGTTCACAAAACCTATTTTTTGTGTTGAAATAATGAGTTCTTTACTCAGTATGGTAATAATAGCAACATGAATAATGTGTTCAAATTTGTGCGAACAAATCTAATTCTTCAATAAAATTCAAAATAAACAAGAATAATGCTTAAGCAACTTTGCTACATTTTATTCATTTAACTATTCTCAAATGCAAGTGCTTAAAGAAAATCATCATCTTGAACTACAATTTGAAGTTTTTCACAAATAAAAATGGAATTTTACTCACCTGTGCCCTGTGATTCTGAATTAGAAAAGGTATTTAACACTCCCATAACCAACTGTATATCTTCTTGATTCAAAGCAACCTAAAAATTAAAATCATGTATAAAGAATCAAAAAACACTTCTTTTTATTTTTTTTTTCCAGCAAAGAACTCACCACAACTGTCTTTAAACAACCTCTAAGATCAAGGTCTGGGACTGCTGAAAATTTCTGAGTGCTCAGACATCGCTTCAATTCCATAGAAAAATCAATAGGTTGGAGAAGCCAACATTCATTCAATATTTCCCCTGTTGGTCCAAGTTCCACCCTAAACACATAAAAATAAATTATACAATTTTAAAGAGGAAAAAAACTACACATACAGCATAAATAAATAATTACTATTTATTTCTTAACACAAATAAAATTATTACAAATTGTTTTTACTGAAATATAATTCCTTTTTACTTCTTGTAAATGGGAAGAGGGCTGTTGCGAGCGTTAAGTAATTATTTAAGTACAGTTCAGGCGCACGTTACTGGTGCATTACAGGGGTGAGAGGGGGTATTCAAAATACTCAATTAGAATTACGTAATTTATGGACATCCCCTTGACTGAAGTTTTGCCATAAATGAATTTTTTAGTGTCAAAGACACAAAATGTGGACTCTGAACTACACAACACAGGAATTATTTACTACAGGAGCAAGAATTATCTATGTTTTTGGTATTAGGAAAAATAAGGTTTTTTGTTTAAAAGCAGCAGCTTGTTCTGCAGCATGACAATACTTTCTTTATATTGCATAACTAGAATACAAGAAAGAAAAAACAATTGCACCACACACAGACAACTTGAAAAGGAGAATCCTATATCTATAGGTTTGGAAATTGCAAGATAACGATGGTTGTGGTGGCTTGTATATAAAAAATTTAAAAAATTAAAAATGGACAGGACTGAATATCTAAAAATGTATTGTTATGAAATTAACAGTTGTAGGATATTTTCAATCCTCTAGAGCTGTCAATGGTTAAGCATTCAATAATAGTTAGTTTTAATAGTGTTTTAGATTTTATATTAACATTACTAGAAGTAATCCTGTGTTGACCAAGTTTTTATCACAATTGTTATAGACAGGAAGAGGAATGACTTCTAATTATAGTCAGTGTTGGGCAGTACTTAAAAACGGTAAAACCTCTCTTTCACACTTTTCATGGGACCCTACGGAAAATGGTGTAAAGTGCGGGAAGTGTAAATAAGAAGAAATGATTTTTGTATTAGAAACTATGAATACAGTATGCATTTAGATACTTACAATCAATAAGAATTATAATATGTTTTAATAGGTTGAAAGTAACATCCTATCTGAATTGGTCATAATTGAGGAGAATCACCTTGAGCAAATTTTCGTTAGAATTAACAGATATAATCATGACATCATCATTGGGTGCGTATACATCCCTCCACAATCCCACCTTAATATTTATTGTGAACATTTGACAACTATCTTCAATAAACAAGAAAAAATTCAAATTGCAAATTGATTATAACTGGTGATTATAACATTCACATTAGTCTACCACAACTGGATTGTAAATCTTTCCTCTATGAAAGATTCTATTTGTTGGAATGTTCTCAGTTAAACGACATTTGTAATAACCAAGGTCAATTATTAGACCTTTGTTTCAGTGACTTGGATGCTCATGCTGATAAAATACCTGCTATTGTGAATGAGGATATTTTTCATCCTGCATGGTCCGTTAAACTGAAGTTCAGAGCGAGCCTGAGACCGAATGATATTTCCATATTTATTCAGGAATGCTGACTATGTATTAATGAATAACTACTTTCTGAGTATAAATTAGATAGATCTATACAAATTGAACAAAATAGATGATAAAGTGAAATGGTTCAACGATGTGATCTATTGGGCCATTAATCAATTTGTTCCAATAACCTATGGAAGAAAAACAGATTTTCCAATTTGGTTTTCTAAGGAATTGATGTGCTTAACTATACAAAAGAAAATTGCTCACAAAAATTACAAAATTAGAAAAAAGTCAGGATAATTATATTACTTTCTGTACACTTAGATCAAAATGTAAACAATTACGTGAAAACTGCTACAAAAATTACTTACAGAAAACCGAAAATGACCTAAATTTGGATCCTAAATAATTTTGGAATTTTAAGAAAAATAGACGTCAGAATAACAGAGATATTTCCTCCAAGATGATTTGGAAAGATGATGTAGCAAGTAATGGAGTTGATATTTCAAATTTATTTGCAGCCTTTTTCAGAAGCGTGTATGATGAACCTACAGGATCTTCAACCGCAAGTGATGTTGGCAGAGTATCAAGAGATCCAGATTTGAAGTTACCTATGATGTTTTCCGTATATTGACACAACTTAACACCAACAAAGGACAAGGACCTGATGACATACCAAACATACTACCAAAAAACTGTGCTGCAGGATTGCACACACATTTTTGACAAATCACTTGAGTTGGGCAACTTTCCATCCACCTGGAAATTTTCTTATATCATACTAATACATAAAAGTGGAGACAAGTTTTAAGTGAAGAACTACAGGCCTATATGCATTCAACCATGCATTCAACTGTAGAAGGTTTTATCCATTTGCCAACTAGGGGTTTACTGTCTGATAATTGTTTGAAAAACTAGTAATTTTAAAAGGAAAATCTGTTTATTTGAATTGGATATATTTTTCATATCAATTTATATTTGATGTGAAAGTGTAAGTGAAAGTGTTTTATATATAAGTATAAGTGATAGTGGTTTTGTGAAAGTGTAAGTGTTTTATATTTGAAAGTTTTGGTTATTGTTCAGAAATTTATGACTATCAATTAGTAATTTATAATAACTGACAATTACAATATTGTTACAATAAAAAAGTTCTAATGCAAAATTATTTTATTTTGATTTTTTTAAGTAAGTATGTATTTAGGAATTCAAAACCTAGTGTATTTTGAGTATGTATTTAAATATTTATTTACAAAGTATTTAAATACTAAATTTAAAGTATTTTGCCCAACACTGATTATAGTGTAACACAAAATAATTTTATATACATTTTCTGAATGCATACTCTATTTCATAATTAATTATAATAATATATTCACAATAAATTATAAAATATACATAATAGATACTAAGAATTTTTTTTGGAATTTATTACAACACATACTATTCCTAGCAATGAACTCTTTATCAGTTGTAACTGCCTGTTCATAATTATTTATACTATTTTATTTCTTTAGACATCAAAATGTTGTTATCTTTTAATGTCAAGAACATGAAGCTTAAATTAGTGGTGATGAAGTATAGTATGAAGTATTAGGACCAAGAGGAGTCTAAACTGCTTTTTCACTTAACTTATTCTGTTAACCGATTCTTACCTGGAAATTTTAAGATTTTGAAGACCTAATACCATATTATCAATAAGTACTTTATTGAAAGTATCAGGATCAGTTATGATTTGAAACCCATTTGTTATAGTCAGATTTCCAAAATCCAATAGGAGAACATCATTGTCCATTCCATGACATGGAAGAATGATAACAGGTGCCTGGAAGAATTACAGAGATGATAACATTTTCAACAGTGTAGTTGGATGGTTAACAATAAATACATGCTTATACATATAATTTTTTAAAGAAGCACTTTCTTTTTTTATTTTTGTACTTCAGATATTAAGAGTTGCAACTCAAAATTTTCATACTTTGCGGAAGGAAACAAAAAATATCTGCTCTCTTTGTTTCATCACTGGAGTTATGACTACTCATTACAAACTTAAATGGACCCTATAAACGTTGAGGATTACTACCGCATATCTTTAAATAGATTTATTTCTTGCAATTATTTTGATATTAAAACCTTGAAATCACTGAAAAAAGAGCTTCAACTCGACCTCGAAGTACTGATTTAATCAAGTCTATCCTTCATAACAGCAACAACAACAACAACAACAACAACAACAATAATAATAATTTATAATAAAGCACCATATTTATTATTAAATTACATAGAGCAAATAAAAATGCAATCAACCTTCAAATCTATATTTAGTCCAATCCTTGTGGCCTGATTGTGTGCTTCAATAACTTCTCCTTTTGCTGCTTCAGCTACACCTGCCATTGCCTCTACTATACCTTCTGGTTCATAATTAAAAGCAAGAAGAAATTCCTGGAAACAAATTTATTTATAATGTAGCATCATAATTAAGAAAACCGAAAACATCATTAATGAACTTTTAATACATCAAGGAAATCTTCAAGTCACTATATACTGAACTTGATTAGGAAGAGAGAAAGTATTTACATTGAAGCATTTGATGCAGTAGAGTATTAAAATGCTTTTTTCAAAGCTAGGATAATACAGTATCAGACGTTTTGCACATACGGGGTTGAAAGTCAAGATATAACAAAAATCAAATGTGCCCTAAATACCTAAATTAATAGTATCAATATTTACTACAATTTTTATTACAAATCCAAGAAAATCACAATCAAAAATGAGAATTCAGTAGTATTAATATCATCTCCAATTAAGCATTCACTGGAATCCTTTCAATAATTCTTTGACCCCAGTTAAGCTTATAAGCCATAAAAACTTCATTTTACAGGAGAGCAAGAAACAACTGATGCTGTAAATCAGGAACTGACTTCAACTGATGCTGTAAATCAGGAAATAATGATATTCAAACAAAACCTACACACAAATAATTTTTTGAATATCACCTTCATTTGAATATCATTAATCCCTGATTTACTTCAATCGAAAGTTGTTTTTTGCTCTTCTGTAAAATTAAGTTTTCATCACTTATTAGCTTATTCACTAGGATCAAAGAATTATAATCTAAAAATTCTTCCAATATTATCTTTACAATTCCTATTTCTATTTGCATATCTGAATGAGTGTTATGTAGGTTTCTCTCGCTAGAAATTTACCTTCAGAGAAGACATGAGTGAAGGCAAGTAGATAAATCGAATTTGAGCCATAGTTGCTTTCACAGTTATATCATTTTCGTTGTTGCTAGCAGTCCGATCAAACATCACAACTTCCACAGACAATGCTTCACTTCCTTCAACAGCAACTACCTGCAATAAGAAACATGTCGCAAAATAAATAAATAATTTAAAAAAAAAAAATTAAAAAAACAAGAAAAAAACACCTTCCATATCAAATATTTAACATATATAGAAATCCATACCCTTTGATAAGCTGATTCACCAAAAGGATTAGTAGCAACAAGGTCTTTGATACGAAAAGCCATATGCATGTTCTTTTTTCTCTTGAGAGCAAAATCTGACCCAGTCATTGCAAAATTTATCTGGTTTGACTGGTTAAGTCCCAGATGTAATTTTAAAGTTGACATGCTAAGATAAAGCTCCCAATTCAGGGATGCTTCTCTTTGTTCTGAAAAAAATTAAAAAATAACCAACACTGACATTTTTTCCCCCAAGAGGCCTCTACATTAATTTTCAATAGCACTTTTTTTAAGCAGATCTTTCGACATAAAAGTCATAATTGTCAGGCCCTGCTACCGAAAAAGTGGATAAATCTTGTTCCTATATGTAGTTAATTATTTTCTCCAACACACCACGTAGTAAGAATCCATGTTTTGATGGTTCTTGATACGACAAATCTATTGGCAACAAAATGTGTGCTCAATGCTGGCATCTTAATTATTCAGATGATTTTCTCCAAAACTAACATTCTCTCATCAATATGAACTACAGGCCCTGTGATTTTGAAATAGATATTTTGATTTCTGGAGATAGTTTCAATAAAATCCTCAAAATTTTCTCAAAAAAGGCTGCAGCTTATTGGATTACACTTAGTCCTTGAATTGCATGAAGAACACAAATGGTATACATCTCAGTTTTCGTTGGATGGAGAGAGATCAGCTGGAGTTTTTTTAAAGATAGCGATAAGTGTTTTTTTTTTTTTTGCGATCGTTCCTACCACAATAAGTGAAAACAGAGAAATTTTTTCGGCTTAATGAAATTTGTTCATCAAAAACATATTTTCATATACGATTGTGTTTAATTTTTTGAGAAAATGAGAAGTTTTTGATTAATTTTGCATGAAATGTAATTTTTCAACAACTCTTTTCTCAAAAACAGCTCATATTTTTTTCTTTAGAAATGACTCCCCCGCCCTCATTTGTAGCAAAGAATGATAAAGTGGAGCTGGTCCCATTTACAGTGAACTCCTGGATTTACAAAAATTGCAAACTTGCAAAAAAAATTGAACATAATCTTTAATAAAATGAATTTCATGTGAATGTAGGAGATTTTATATTTATATAAAATTTTATGTTTATAAAAATTTATATATCCAAAAATTTATTAAAATATAGAAAAAGCTGAAAGCAGTTTTTTGACAAAATATAAATTCTTCTCCTTACTTTTACAAAAGTTTTTGTAAAACAAGGAATAAAAGATAAATTTTCTTTTGGAGTCCATGCAGATCCCCCTTAGCATGAATACTTAATATCATGGCATTAGGAAGGTTAACTGATTGTCTTTAACACTTCAATTTAGGTCAACAAAAAATCCAGAAAGTACTTTTTTCTTCTGAAAACACTGGAACTTGCCAAAGTACATTATTTAATATCATATGAACTCTTTTTCAATCAGGTTCTGATAATCATTACATTTGACAAGAGAAAAAATTTACCAGATACTATTTTCAATCCATTTTCAGGTGACACTGGCAGAGTTGGTGAATTTGTATTATCACTGTCAAAATTCTCTGCTAAAATTCGCATTATCATTTGGACATCATTCCAATTCAAAGAAGCCTACAAAGAATAATTATTACGTATAAGAATTGGCAAAAACCAGGTACAATCTTAGAAAAAACATCTTAAGGTTTAAAAATGATATAGTTCACAATCACTCACTTCCAAGTTATCTAAATGTCCATGCATGGCAATTTCAGGCACCAAGCCATCAACAGACTGAGTCAATGACCGAGCCAGCTGCAGAACGAAAGTAACTGGCAGAACTAATTTCTGCTCTGAAGCCACTTCTTGATTATGGGTCAGCTTCACTCTATGTTTTACCACCAACAAATAATTACTTTAACAAAGTTTCTATTTAACACACTTCCAAGAGCTTCAACAATTAAAAGAGAAATAGTTAAATACATGTTTCATACACTTTTATGCTTTAATATTTTCTACTACGTCTTCATTAACACCAAAAAACATTTAATTCAAAATACTGGAATGTTTCTTTATAATTTTCTATGTTATATGGCAACACAGAACCAAAACTACATTAACAATGAAGATGATACTGATCGTAATACATATTGAAATTTATTATAACAAATAACTTCATTATAAAATCTAATAGTAGACAAATGAAAGACACCCCAAATGAAACACATTACATATTTCTACTATTTTTATAGTTATAAAATGATTTTACTCCTATATTGTACTTCCTTTCCAATATCAATTACCTGCGGATGAAGTAATAGGTAAAAAGAAAACAAATAATAATAGATTACTTTAAGAAATTATTAAGTAAACATTTATTTTATTTTCACTTTGTCCTCCATCCTCTGGTAATTGAGTTGGGAATGAAAATTGTAAGAAAAGAGTAAATTAATCATTTTATTATTATAAAAATATTTAGCAGAATGTATTTTTTACCGTTTTACCTGAAGATAGAAATGAAAGAATTCCAAAATGTCATAACTAATGTATAACCATGTGAAATAAATATAACTACAAATCATTATCAATAATTTACAGAGGAACACTGAAGAATAATACACCAATTAAAACTGAAACCTGACAACCTGTTCAATTCTTTCATAAAATTTTCAATTTAATTTTGTCTAAATGGTATGAACTAGTCTTAAAAAATGTTTCAAAAAAGTATTTCACGAGGCTTCATTAAAATTAGCAGTCATTCTACATTCAGTTAAATTCAGTATTATTTTTGGTAAAAAAAATTATGATTGGAGACCAAAACTAGATATAAGATTATTATAGGGCAAGATTCGAAGACACAAAATTGTGTAGAGAAGTTCAAATTGCCATTTTAATTATAAAATTAATATAAAACAAAGAGTTTAAAACACACAAAATTGTTTATAGAAGAAGTCTGTAGGTTGCTTTACAATAATCTATGACTGGTTTTGTCCCTAATCACTCCAAATACATGAAATTCATAAAAGATTTTGAACTATAAACATTTTAGAACATAGTTTTCATTTTAAATTTTCAGTTAAATTTACCTTGCAACTTGAAGATCATGTAAATTGAATCGTATAAGATCTATAGGACCAGCAGGTCTAGTTTCCAGTTCGTTTTTGATTAACAATTGACCAAAGTCTAATTGAAGCACCTCCAAACTTGTTTTATTTACTGGGACCACAATGAGAGGAGCCTAAATAGAAAAATTGTTTTATTACAAAGTAGTTTAAGAATTTTTTAAAACTTTCATAGGCACACTCATCTCAAGCACAAGACGGAAATCATTGCAAGTAGAAAAAATTCTTTGTTACCCGTACACATCACATATGTTAAAATACTTTTCTTCCAATGTTTTAGTGAGCACTTGTAAAACATGTTTTAAATAAACGTTATTTTAGTATTTATGCAAAAACCAACAAGAAATACTAAATTTCAACACTTAACATCCCCATCTTGTGCTTCTTAAGTCTTAGAAAGCCATTCAATTACCCAAGACTATAAGCCAAACTTCGAATGAGCAGAGCAGGCTTTATTTCTCACTATAATAGTCTTACTGATGTTTACAAAAGCGTTGCACATGAAGTATTTAATTATCTATTTTGAATTAAAAATTGAGACATGAGAACTTTAGGCAGATGAAAGGATAGAGCATTGATGCAGAACCTCTAATAATAAGGACCTGATAGTACTTCAATGACCGTTGGACAGGAAATTTGCTCTTCAGTAGTAATTCTCCAGAAATTAAATGTCAACGGCATTTAATATCAACGTCAGATTGAAAAGAAGGGTTTGTATTTTTGTTTATGAATTACTGTAAGCACCAGTAATGGTCGTGATAAAGGTAAAGCCATAAGCTTCAGCGTACCCGTGATTGGGAGGTCGTGATTTCAATCCTTGCCAGGTGCTGAAACTTTGCCTGATATTATTAACATCAGCAACTTCATAGCACCTTCTGGATGAAATTTAATAAACCATCTGCTCTGAGCAGTGGTATCCATGATTTCCCTGATTGTTTCAAGGCAAACGCTGGGGGAGCATCTTAGAATACAAGCAACACGCTCTCTGCTTCCTTGCCTACCTTGTCCCCATCCTCCAACCTTAGGGCCAAGCAACAAGCCCCAGAGTTCAGGTATGTGCTGTGAACTCCCAGAGGCACTTTGTAGCTCATAGAGGGAATAACAATAAAAGTATAGAAATCTTGGTTTGTCCTCTGAACGTGGAACAGGAGAGGCATGCCCGTGCAAGTAGCACATCCACAAGAATCGCATGCCCATGGAAGTGGCACAGTGATGTGTACAAGTGGTTTGTAAATGCGGCACGTGAATAGTGCAAGTCGAGCATGCGAAAATTTGGATGATATCCAAGAATTCTTCCTACAACTAACTTAATTGGGGAAATTCTCTCCTATGTGTGTTAAACACTATTCTATTCACCTGTTTTCTCACAATCATTTTCCACATTCTTCTTTTGGTTTCACTATGTGCCACTTTTAATATTAAGATATTGTAGTTCAATTCTAAATTTATTAAAGATTATCATCTGATAAATATTTTTAGATACTATTAGCAGCAACACGCAATATTAGCATGTAGTAAAAAACACATGCAATGTAAAAAACACATGCAACATTGTAAATATTTATTACAATCTTACCTACCTGAAAACTTATATCCAGCACCACAAACTGGGATGCAGCATGAGCATCAAGAACTTTCTTTTTAGCAGCTTCTGCAGCATCTGCTACTGCCTGCACAATATTTTCTTGAGCTTTCTGGAAACTGTTTAAAAATCCCTACAAAAAAATGACAAATTGTTAAAAAAATATTTCACTCATCTGAACGTTGAGTTAATCATAATTCTTCCATTAAGGCAAATGGCCAAAGATTCTTCCACCCCTACAAATTACTCGATTTATGTACTATTATATAGTCGCTGATTTGCTGGCTGGCTCACTCACACACTCGCACGCTCGCTCGCTCACTCACTCACACACTCGCTCATTCAGGACTACGCCCACGCCCACCACAAACAATTGCATTCACAATTACTCTTGTATGCTCATTCATAGACTATATTGAAATGAACTCAAATGTTTGTGAGGTGGATTCAACATTGCAACATAGTGATAAGGGCAGTCTTGCTGCAGACTTCCCATGCAGCTAATTAATATGATTCCCTCAATCTGAGCTACAAGGAAAGAGTGAATATGGATTATTACAAAGCATTCGGTCACATATAGAATTGTGTCCCTGACTGCCGCAGTCCACTAGATAACAACTGACAATTGAAAGTGACAGACCCTCATTAAAGAAAGTAGTTCCACAGGGGCAGCTGAAATACAAAAACAAGAGAGGGGGAGGGAAAGAGAGAGGGGGAGAGAGACAAAGAGAGAGGGGGCGAGGGGAAGAGAAAGAGGGGGAGAGAGAAAGAGAGGGAGAGGGGAAGAGAAGAGGGGAGAAAGAGAGGGAGAGAGAGAAGCGAGGGAGAGAGAGATAGGAGGGAGGAGAGAGAAGCGAAGGGAGGGAGAGAGAAAGCGAGGGAGGAGAGAGAAAGCGAGGGAGGGAGAGAGAAAGCGAGGGAGGAGAGAGAAAGCGAGGAGGGAGAGAGAAGCGAGGGAGGAGAGAAGAAAAAAAGCGAGGGAAGGAGAGAGGGAAAAAGAGGGGAGAGGAAGCGAGGCAGAAAAGAAAAAGAAGGAGGAGAAAGAGAGGGAGGGAGTAGAGAAAGAGAGGGAGGAGAGAGAAAAAGAGGGCAGGGAAGAGGAATAAGAGAGGGAAGGGAGAGAGGAAGAGAGACGCGAGGGAGAGAGAAAGAGAGGGAGGGAGAGAGAAAGAAGGGGGGAGAGAAAAGAGAAGTGAGAGAAGAGAAGAGAGAGAAGAGAGGAAAGAGGAGAGGGAGAGGAGAGAGGGAGAGAGAAAGAGAGGGAAGAGAAAGAGAGGGAGAGATGAAAGAGGGGCGAGAGCAGAAAGAGAGGGAGAGAGAGAAGAGAGGGAGAGAGAAAGAGAGGAGAGAGCAAGAGAGAGGGAGAGAGAAAAGAGAGGAGAGAGAAAGAGAGGGAGAGAGAAAGAGAGCAGGAGATAGAAAGAGAGGAGAAGAGGATTAAGAGAGGAGGGAGAGAGGAAAGAGGTGAGAGAGAAAGAGGAGAGAGAGATGAGCAGGGAGAGAAAGAGAGGGAAGGAAGAGAGGAAAGAGAGAGAGAGAAAGAAGAGAGAGAGAAGAAAGAGAAGAGAGAGGGAAGAAAAGAGAGGAGGGAGAGGAGAAAGAGAGGGAGAAGAAAAGAGTGAGAGAGAAAGAGAAGGAGAGAGCATCTTTGTATCCCATAGTTTTTCCTTTAAATGAAACTAGATTAAAAAACCACATTGCTCATATGTGCACTAAGTTTAATTATTAATTAAATATTTTAATATCAGTTCTATCACCACAAGAACAAAAATGGCTCCAAATAAATGAATTTTTTTTCTTTTGACGAAGCTAAACTAATAGAACAGATTTAAAATGAAGTTAAGTATTGTTTAACTTATTTTGTTTGTGAAAGTTACACTACCATACTTTAAAGAATGCAATTTTGGTGAAGGAAAGATTTTTCACATAAATATTTTCCCTAAACAAAACAAAAAAATTGAGTGTTAAATATTATCACAATGTTTTTTCTTCTAAAGGCTTATTTCCAACACCAACTGACCAGCAATCAGTTTCCAAAAATGTTTGTACCTCTTCAATGAATACAAATAGGGGGGAAAAATCATGAAACCAGTTTAATATACATTTGTAATTTTTATAGGCAAAATTTTATGTACTGAAATGAATGAAAGAGTTTTATTTTACTACCCACTTACCATTACAACTTGAGTGAAACTATTCAAAAACACAATACGACTCCTTGTTAGATGAGCTTTGATAGTCATGCTAATACCATTCTTGAGTCTTTTGTTCAGCTTGTTAAACATTACCACTTCCAATGACAAAGCTTCTTTCCCCAAAATAGACACAATCTGAAGATAAAATATTAATTAATTATTAATAATCTATTTTCATTCTTCTAAGTTTAGGGTCAGGAGTTGCCGTCAGCAATTCAGGTCTCACAGAACACTATAATCATAAATTTAAATACTCTAGATGCACTTTTAAAATGATGTTTTTTACAACTCTAAAAAATATAACAAAATTTAAAATGCTGATTTATTTATGAAAAAATCATGAACGCAACATCTTTCAAAATCATGACAAAATCTTTCTTAACTGAAACAAAATTATTAATATTAATTCCATTATTACAAAATAATTTAAGTTTATTCAAGTATTAAAAATTTTATTGCAATATTTGTAATCACTTTTTTGAAATAGATTTGTGGATTTTCGGCCTAATTATTAGTACAAAAATAAATTGATATAATGTTCAGATTTTTCTAAGGACCACCAAAATTTTCTCAGGGATAATTGGTGGTTCACAAACCACTGCCTGACAACTGCTGTTATTCATTGTTAAACAAACATACACAATTGTCATAATATAATAACAATAAGATTTACAAGTTCTCTTAACAAACACTTATTGGCAAGGAAAGAGAAAACTTTCGATACAAATAATAACATAAACATTTACCTTATTATGTGTTGTTAAGGGGTTAGGATCCAACAGACACACATTACGTAACCGGGCTGAAATAGATGTAGAAGTTTTATTCATAACCGCATTGGCTTCCATTCCTGCCACCATAAAATGAGCTATGGGTTGCTGCTGCTGCAGTAAAGATATATTGAATGCATGAAGACGAGCAGAAACTTTCAGGCTTGACTCAGTTTTCCTTTTACCATGTTTTTGAAACTTTACCACTAAATTTAAAAAAATAAAAAAAGAATTTAGTAAAACAAAAAAATTCATTCTGTATACTGAGAGTCATCAATAACATGTGTGTTAACAGAAATAATATTTATATTGTATTTGGTTTCTAGAAAAACAAGAAAAAAGAGAAAATGCACTTCGCTACATAATATATTCTTAAAACTGAAAGGATTACTTTTAAGTACTCTTTCCAACTAAATGAGATAACCAGCAATAAAATAAGACTATTTACTCACAGGGGCTTGTAGTTTTCTGCTGAGAACCTGATTGAGGTGAATGAGGCACATGAGATACAGTGGAGGGAGATTCCATACATTGGCTGAGAACTTGTCCGTAATCCAGCAATGTCAATAAGATTTCATGGTGCAACAGCACCGTAAGATAGGAAAAATCAGCCTCAAGGAATTGCTGAACTTGATCTTCTCCTGTATTAATATTCTCTGCTCTTTCAACCTAATTAAAAAAAAACATGATAAATGAGAAAAATTATAACCAGCTGGAAAGGTGTGAACATTCTGTCCTTTGTAAATCATTGTTTTAAAGGTGAAACTAATTTCTCACTGAATCTCAACTTCAAATGGGCAGCCCCTGACCCCTTTTAAAGCCAAATAAATCCATTATGATGGGCCTACACTAGGCTCTACTTCAAAGAGAACGAAGAAGAAAGGAAAGAGAAAGAGAAAAAGAAACTATATCTGAGACATCTATCTAATAAATCCTCACAAACTAAGAAGGAATACCCCACAATTTCCAACCCCGTTAGGTACCTAACATGAAAAGCCCAACAGGATTCATGGAATAAATATATAGCTAATATCGAAAATGACATACATGGACGGCAGAAAACAGCATATAAAATTATGAGACACCTTAGCAGACACAGAGAAGGACAAGCAGATATACAAATAATTAAGCCAGATGAATGGCTTTTCTTACTACAAGAACTTCTGGACAAATAAGAATGCAAGGGATATGAATCAGAAGGAAAGACAAAAATGAAAACCTCATTGACAGCAGCGTAGATCAGATGGAAAGGGAAGAACTGGATGAAGAAGGCAAAATAAGTAAAATGAGAAATAGAAAAGCTAGTGGCCAGTGATGGCATAAAGGGCAGGAAATGCTTAAATGTGCAACTGAAAATTTTAAAATTAAGGCTTCTCCACTTCTTCAACCTATGCTGGAATAGAAGAAAATACCAACCAAATGGAAAACTCGCCGTAGTGCTACCATATTTTTTTTCAAAAAGGGAGACCGATCAAATATGTGACAACTACCAAGAGATATAAGTTCTCTAACGTTGCTATAAGATTGTATCAAAAATTGTCGACCACTAGACTAAGAAAAATTGCAGAAACAATGTGATGGAAGAAACAAAGTGGGCTTTCGTCAAGGAAGGTCCTGCACAGACAATATCTTCATCTTAAAACAAATTTTACAGAAACAGCAGAGAATATACAAGGAAACCCACATCTTGTTTGTAGATTAACAGAAAGCTTTTGACACTGTAGCCAGGCATACCCTCTTTGAAATATTAAGAAAGAAAGGAATCCCAAACATCTTATCCTTGTAATTGAAAATGTGTATAATAAATCTGAAATATGTATTACTTTGAAACCAGATCGAAAAGCGGAAGAGGACCAAGGCCTACGACAAGGATGTAGTTCACCGCTAACTGTTTGATATCTACATAGACGAAGCTCTTCGTGAGTGGAAGAGCAGATTAAAATTTTATAGCCTAGACCTAACTACATCAAAATTATGGACAATACTTTTTGCAGATGACCAAGCAATAATAGCAGAAGGAGAAGATATATTACAAAAAGCAACATATGAACTGCAGCAGATAATGGCAGAATATAATCTTGAAATATCAGACACCAAAACGAAAGTGATGGCATTTCAAGGTCGATACCCGATAAGCTCATAAATTGTAGTAAATGATAAAACAGTAGAGCAGATACAACACTTCACATTCTTGGGAGCAGACATATCATGCTATGGCGAAATCGACATAAATAAGAAAATAGAAAGATACAATCAAATTAATGGAACTATAAGAAGAACACTCAGTTCAAAAGTGAGAAGAGACACTCTCATTAAATTTTACAAAGTTATGTTAATACCAACCTGCTTATACAGGAGTGAAGTGTGGACAATGACAAATAAAGATATATCAAGACTGCAGGCAGCGGAAATGAGATTCCTTAGAGCGGTAGCAGGATAGAGCCTTTTGGACAGACAAAGAAACACACAAATCCGAAACGAGCTAAATGTAGAAAGTCTTATAGAGAAAGTCACCAACTAGACTCTCATGGCAAGATCACATGTTGCGAATGAACAACGACAGAATTCCTAAACAAGTGGCAAATTATCAGCCAAGAGGAATGTAGGACGTCCAAGAATGCGCAGGAGGGACCAAAATTAAGCGCGTAACAGGCATTATGCCTAAATACTTGAAGATAAGATGAAGAAGAAGAAGAAGAAGATGATGGACCTAAAGATGCAACAATTTAATTTTACATAGATTTCGAAGTTCTAGTCAATTCTGGCCAACCAAGCATAGTTTGATGGTAGCTAGAAGGTCTAAATTTCCAAAAACACAAAGGAGATTCAAAAGTTTCATTTTGTAAAACATTGCTTAAAAAAAAATAACTAAGGTTTGACTTGTCCCATGCGATTCGCCTGCATTTTCCCCTATATATTCCCCATTCATTTTCTGTGTTACTGTAATGTTGTCAGCATGATGCCTTGAACATTTCCTGCAATTTCTCACATTCTCCCAGCGCATTTCCTTCAGGTCCCCCACCTTTTTCTGGCATATATCATTGCATTTTCCACATAAACCTCAAATTATTCTTTGCATGTTCCCATGCATGTTAATGTGGAAATTAAACTGAAAATACAAAAATTGTATTTGTGTTTTGTTATTACAAAATACTTTTATAATCATTACAGCAGTGGATAGGACAGTGACTCACCTGCCAGATGATACGAAAGTTTTGAATAACTAGAGTTCCCACAATAGCAGAAAATCCAAGATATGTAATTGAAGCTCCCAAAGATTTTTCAAAAACATTCCTAATCCCAATCATTGTTTTTAAAGAGAAAATAGTTCCACATTAGAACTCAAATTTCAGTGTTTCTGGAAATCCATGTTATGGATTGAGGGCACGTACCAAAAAACGTAATAGAAAGTCCAAAAAGACTATTTTATATTTAGCGTCATCAAAAACTTAACTCGTGTCTATTGCAGGAATACAAAAATCTGGTTTTAAGGTCCTACAACATTTGTTTCCAAGATCTGCATGATGGTAAAGTGTATTGCAACATAATGAGTGTTGGAGTTGCATGTGCACTTGACATAATAAATATGCCACAATCGGCAAACTCCGGTTTTTCGTCTTAAATCTCTTTGATACAGGACCAGAGAGTACAGTATTTACCTGAATATAAGACAAGGATTTTTCCTAAATATCTCAGTTTAAAAATGCGGGATTGTCTTATATTTGCAGATTAAGCCTAGTTGGTTAGGATTTAAGCTTTTAACATTGCCATTCCATGTCATGAAACTCATAAATGTTGGTGTAATAATAAACTGCAAAATAGTAAATATATCACGCATATATATCATACGTAATTGTATTCGCAGGCATATTCTTGGCGTTCATCATGAATTTGTCGGGTAATTCAGACTGAAATTTTTGAACGAGCTGGTAAAGACAGAATCTGAAATGAATGGCAATGAAACAAATTATGAAAATAAATGCTGAAATTGTTACACAATGCAGGTTCAATGAGGCCCCGCAGAATCACAGTTCACTGCCCAACAAATGCAAATCTGTGTTTTGAACTGTTAAACAAACAGATACCATCGACAAGTGCAGAACAGATAGAAATTCTGTTGACAGATGGTAATGTTCTTAAGTGGCATCTGATGAAAGACTAAGAACAACACAAATCCAATGCAAAACTTTCAGAAGGCCCTAAAATATCAGAAAATGTCGCAGTGTTGAAAGCGAACCAAAAAGAAAGAAACATTGACACATGTGAAGATGACTAGGGCAGTGACAAAAAACGTGACTATGATGAATTTCAGAAACAAGATAATGATAGTTCAACAATAAGTCTTAACATTCTCATCAACAACGAAGTTGTCTAGTCAACAAGACAATTTGAAATTTTATTTTGAGTAAAATAGTAAGAATTGGTTAAAAATTTATAAAAAATTCTCAGGTCTCTTCTAAATTAGGGGGTCATCTAATATTAAGAGTTAACTTAAATTTGGGAAAATACAGTAATTCCTTACACAGCAGTAATATATTTACTGGACCAGTGTTGATGTTACATTAATCTGTCAACAAATGTCATTTTTGAAAAAAAAATTTTCACAACAGTTTTTAAAGATACAATTTTGATGAAAAAATTTCATTCACAATATATGTCTTATCTTCAATAATGAAATTAGGACACGTCAAAAAAATTTTAACTTCTGGAATATTTGAAAATTTGGAGACTAAGGTAAATCTGTTTGCACTGTTTTTATAAGCATATATCGTTCCATATGAGAGGGAAATACATAAAATACTTTGTTAGAATTTTAAAAAAATTTTGAAAAAATTTTAAGGCTTCATGTAAAATACCCTCAGTGTAATAATCCCTCAGTAAAAAAATATGTTTCTAATTCTAGAGGTTGCAACACCATAATAAGACAATGGCAACAAATTAGCAGAATGTAGACCAAGAAAATTTAAATTAAATGTGAATTTCAAGGGTAACTACAAAATATGGAGTAATTTGAATCATCTGATGTTGAATTAACCAGATTCCAATATACACGATAGTATCTAAGAACATGAGTAGAATTTATTCAATTAAAAATAAATTGACTTCAAATTATCTTTAGTTAAATGGTCACAGTAGATCTAACATTACTGGATATTTGTACAAGCCGATCCTACAATACATCAGAGCATCACTATAATTACAGTAAAACCCCTCTTTTACGTTTTCCTGCCTTTTATGTAATTTTTCGTTGGTCGCGTTGAAAGCCTGTATTTACAATGTATTCTCTTCCCGCAATTAACAACTTAATATGAAGAGTCCTGTTAATAAAAGATATCCTGTCTTTTACGTCTTTATTTAAAATTTATTTATTTATTTATTTATTTATTTATTTATTTATTTTTACATTCTTGCATACGTACATTTTATAACTAGTGCTGAGAAAGTTATATAATGCTGTGGCAAAAAACTGTGATCTTTCGACAGAAAAACTCTACTGATCATGCAGATTAATCCAGGAATATAAATTTTGGAAAAAATTGACAGTCGTTGACCACAGACGGGCAAACAGAAGTTTTCAGCCAGAAAAAACACTGTCAATCGATTTTGTGGTTTCAAGGACCCATAAAACAGATTCAGGCTACACCACGTGTTAGAGGAAGTAATTTACTATACATGGGAATATGATTTATCCCCTTTTTCATTACCAGGGCACATCAATAGGAGATTTTCTGACAAAAATTGCTGATTCCGTCACATGCTTTTACTTTTTCTTACGAAGGGCAAGTAATCATTGCAGTAAATAATGAAAGTACTCGCCTAGCCTATCATTTCTCAACTTTCCTGTATTTTACTCTCCCCTGCATTTTACACTTTTTTTAATCGGTCCCCTGAAAAGTGTAAAAGAGGGGTTTTACTGTATATATTCTTTATATTTTATATTATATTTATATTTTCTCAGTTGCTTCCTAAATCAGTTTGCTTTGTACTTGGTTTAATCAAGGCTTGATAGTTCATGTAAGTCACTACATAATATAATGCATATTGACTTACAGTTGTGTACTTGATGGTTAACATATCAGTTTCTCTACTTTTGTCTGGCATGTTGCTGGAGGGATCCAAGAGCTTCAAAGTTCCTTCTTTGCCTGAGTAACTGAGGGAAATACCTCCCAAAGTAGCAGTCACTGATATGTCAGAAGTTCGTTGCAAGAGAGAGAATCCTAAATGCAGAGCTTGTAACTCCAACATTTTCTCAGATTTGTAATCTTTCAATCGAGTCTTGCCCAAAAATGGTGTTCTAAAGAAAGATACTGTTACTCCTGAAACAAATACAAACATAGTAATCAATACATCTCAGTTGAGACATTTCAATTAGAACTCATTACATGCTTTGAAAAAATTCTTTAAGGAAGCTCAAAATTTACCCTGAAATAGGGGTAAATCTACAGTAACCATTGTAATTTACTTTTACTACATCTGTATTTAACTTTACATTATTTGCAACTAGTTCAACTACTACAATTTTATTCTAGTGAACACAATTTTGTAGACACACACATTTACTTTCCTGCTTCTTGATAAAAGGGTTGCTTCTTATACAAAAATTAAAGACGTAATAATGAACAATAGAATTCATGAAAATATATTTCGTGAACCTGGGGGACAGGGGGATTTGTCAATCTCCCACACACACAAATTTAGTTTTTTTTAAATTTTACTCAATTTATTCAAAATAACTAATTTTTTTTTTTAACCTTTATTACAAAATAAAACCGATTTGCTCAAGATAAATATTCTTGTACTTTTTTTTTCTTTCATTTTTTCCCAAGCAAACATTATAATTTCAAATATACTGAAATTGCTCCTCCCATCCGAAAAACATTTTGGATTCATTCCCTAATACAACTTATATAATTAAGCTGGTTGCTTAAAAATACTCTCTAATATAGGTACAATGGAAGAAACATTATTTTGATTCACTGAATTCATGAACATTACTTTCCACAGCAGAGAATTATTTGTCGCTATTAGAAATCAAAGCAAAAATATCTTACCTTCCATGACAAACTTGAGATCTAATTTCACAGAATTGGGCACCATTTCTGAGTTGATACTAGATATAGAATCACCACCCTCCAAAATTTCATTAACTGTGTTAGCGGAGTACATTTCTGAATTCACAACCTGAAACACCACACATTTCATTTCAGAATAAAAGTAGAGAACAAAAATAGTATGTCAAATTGGAAACAAAGTTTTGAGATAATTTACCTCTAAATTTTCATGATCTTCTGAGAAAGGTATACTTTCATACAACTTTATCAAGTGTATCATTCTGTTGTCTAACGAACAAGAAAAATTTTACTATTAAACTTATGCATTAGATTATTTATGCATTAATTAATATTTCCAAATAAGTAATTCAAATCTTATATTTACCTTCAATAATGAATGACACTGTAGATAGATTCCCTACAATTTTCAAATTAGGAAGAGAGGGATCATTTTGAACAAGACACTTATCCACTTGACAAGAGAAAGAAATAGGTTCTACAAGGTGCATATAACTAGAACTGTGGTTGTGTAATGCAACTTCCCAATCCTCACCAGATAATGCAAACAACACCTACAAAAATGGCAATTTCAATACCAAAAAGGATGTTTAAATAACTTAATAAATCACCAATTGACTGACTTATGTAACAACACAATAACAAAATAATGTTTAAAACCAACTTGAACATTCTTCAGCTCCAATGAAAACCTATCATAACTTTCTTCTCGCATTGTTGCAACAATAGACTCTGCTGAAAGACCTCGCTGGTGAAGTAGCCTAGGATTTGAAGCCACATCACGAGGGAGAGTCAGCACACTTAGTTGACCCAGATTTACAACTAGTACATCTCTCAGATCACCAGGCCTGCCAAAGAATATTATTTCTACTTGAAATTCTAACCAATAGTGTCATTCTAATCCATTAATAGAAATATAAAATAAAGAACTAATTTTTTTTATGCAATACTAAGCTCTGGTCAAAATTCAGTAACAATTATTTCATTGAAAATTCAAGTGAACTTTTATTCCTAAACAATATCACACATATTTTAGCACGAATGAGGTTTTACAATTAATCAAAATACATTTAATCAATGTTGAAACGAAAATCCGAGGAAATTTCTCATCATCCTTTTACTTATTTGTTGTAACAGTGGCAAAATTCAAATCTGTTTGTTTTGCAGGAGACATGCTTGAAATTTCCAGTTCCTATATTAAAAAATGTAGGGCAAACATCACTACACTTGTCTCACAATAAATTTGCAAAGAATAGGTAGGTCTCACAATATCCTGTATCTTCCTACTAATAACTCCGATTAATTCTGAGGTACTCCACTGTTGCAGCTAACAAGCAATTTGTTAAATCATTTGATGATTCAATAGATAAACAATAGATATGAAATACCAGAGAAGGGATTCTAAAGGGATGTATTGATCTTCAAAAATCAAAACTGATTTGAGAAAACCATATAGCAGAAATTGTGCATTTTATCAACAAAAACACTTACCCAGCATAACAACCTTCAAATGGAATCAAAACATATGAAGATTTTAGATCTATCTCCACTTCTGTCATCACATGATGCTCAATGGCATACTGAAGGCCAAGAGCAGACATCTCAGACAATTGGGCTCCAGCGGCTGCCTGCAACCTAGCAGAAATATGGAAATTCACAAGTTTGAAAAGATAATAAACCCACAATAACAAGAAAAGTTGCAACAAAAACAAAGTTTCCAACAAAATATTTATTACTCCCTGACTATCATTATTCTTTCATTAAAGTGCTCTCTCCTTAAATGCAGGCAACTGGGCAGTGCAAAATAACATGGTAATGATTAAAATTAATAGTTGAAAGTTGTAAATACCAGTTTTCCCATAAAAACCCACCAAATTACTTGACATTGCCTTTTACATATGCCCCCCTCCCCCGCCCTTTTAAGAAGCACCCAATCCTTCCATTGGAATTTAATACACACAAAAACATTTTTGCAGATTGGCCACCACATTAACTGCACTACATGAAATGGCCTTTAACATTACAACATTACACAATAAATATAAAAGCTTGACTGCATCCTAAGCTAAGTTTCCAATATTTTCACTATATGACTAGACCTTTATCACGGAACACCATGAGCACTAATAAAACATTTCGCTGCTCAATTTGAAGCTGGGCACATAAGCATTCATCTTCTCCAATGCATCAACAACGATGAATAATTTGCAAAACATTTTTTTTTTTTTTTTTTTCAAAGATGATGAATGTTCTCCTTCAATTTCTTTCACAATTTGTAGTTCTACATTTTTTCAAAGTACAGTAGCTACAGATACCTGTAGCAAATAATAATTACAAAAACAACATTCAACTGTGAGTTGGTCATCTGACACTGACACAATTAGATGGCATCAAATCATTGTCAGTGTAACCCTCAGTAAAACCAAGCTGCAAAAGGTATACTCCACCAAGCACTCACACTAACCATCAGATACAACACTGAAATTTTATTGATTTTTTAGCAAGTAACGGAAGTCAGACCTGGCCAAATTGTGCTCTTCCAACATGAACTCTCACTGGCAGTTCATAAACGAGTTCACAAGCTGGGAAAGGGGAAGAGGAATTACAAAGAGGCAGGGGGAATTTTCATTTACTACTGCATTAGAAAAACCTGTTTCATATTAACATCATCTTTCACAATGGCTTTTAATTTATGTAACAACGTAAGTTCGAAGAAATTCATTTGAAGGTGTTGGGTGTCATGTTTTAAGAACTATAACTCAAAATAATTCAAAAATGTTAAAAAAATAAAATAAAAAGGGGGAGACACAACCTGCCCCCTTGATACTCATTGACTCCAGCTATGAATGTCTTTATTTACATAAGTAAAACATTAATAATACTATAAACATTAATATGACAGTAAATTTAAGGATTGAATTTCAAATGTGAATGTTAATATTCACTATTACAGTTCAAAGAAAAAATTAGAAGAAAAAAAAAACACTTACTGTACAAGCACATCCGATTGTGGTCCTTCAAATATTGCAGCTAGTCGCATAAATGTGTGAGCATCATACACAAGTTGTACTGGAGACGCATGAATATGAAGCCTACGCCCACATGACTTATCCAAAGGATTTGTTTCGAGTAGAAGTCTCATCAGGACAGATTCTGATCCATCTTCCAAATAAGTCAAAGACTTTACCAAATGAGGAGATGTGTCATCATCTCCAATGCCCCAAGCACCAAGTTCAGACATTTTCAGTGACATTCTATACATGAAATCAATAAATTTCAATACAATTGTCACCATACATTGTCATATTTTTTTAAAATAAACATAAGTAATCATTGAAAATTCTTTCATTTGTCACTAGCTAAAACACAATTAAAGCAACGAATCTCCTGAAGATCTGAAATTCCCATTTCTATAAGTTCAATTTTTTAACTTAATTTTGAACTCGAGTTCAACACACGAAGTTTATATACATATAATATATAAAATACCATATAATATATAACATGACAAACTATAAGATTAATTCAATATTTTGGCATAAACAAACAGATACTGTTGATGATGTCATCGGAAGGTGACATGCTGCAGGTACGGTGCATGAATTGAAAACATGAAGCCTTGTTTAAAAGTCCGCATGTAATAAATATAAGGTATTATCACACTTGAAAATGGACCTAAATAGCAAGGGTTTGGGAATTGACAGCATCCCAATAGTTACTCAGTGTATAATCTTCACAATTATTTTTATCCTCATAAAAAAGAGATAAGAACAGTACAATTGCTTTGATTGTTTTAAATGCTGAAGTTCTGGAATTAACTGGATTTAACAAACCCGAGAATCTGAATATCATACTGCAAAAATTATAATCTCAAACTCAGCACAAGTGTAATTATCACACCCAATTTTACCTTCACTTATCAACTTATGGACACTTTCATATTCTAAATGTAACATTCTAATTTCTAATCATTGTTTTATTCAAGTATGCCACTGCCTTACCTAAAAGCACCAGCAGAAGGTCGCTGTTCCAATGAAGAAAACACTCCACTTAATTTTGCCAACAAAACTCTACATTTATTATCTTGTATATTTAAAATTAGCTTTCCTAAGTGGAAAACAACTTGTCGTTCCACAAACTCTTCTGGATAATGAGCAGGATCTGCATTTTCCTCATAATCAATGGCTTGATAGAGTTTTAACTTCTCTTCAGCAGTCAACTCATGTTTGAACTTATCTGAAATATTCAATTTTTCAATTTTCACCTTGATACAAAATCATCAACACAAAAATAATTTATTGTTCTACACACAGGCAATTACCTGTCAGTTCATTACTTTCACTAGTGTCTGCTCCCCTCCACCAGCTACCGATCCATGATGACAAACCACTAGCTTGAGGTTCCTTAGGAGTTTTTTGTTTCAACCACTCCACCTGATTTCACAAGAATTCCTTTCAAACACTTATAAAAAACTAAAAACTGACTGCATCATTTTACATAACGACTACCATGGCAAAAACTCATAGTATTACCATTCCTTCATTACGAGAATGTTCATTTAAGATTAAAAGAAATAATAAAATATTAGTTTTACACATCACTATGTAAAATTTTGAGTCCAATTATTTGAATTAATCTTTATTTACTTCTAGGCATTTTACAAAATTTTGTCTGCTAATGACACTTCTGATGATAACATCTTCTGCAGATAGCCTCCTCCCCCACCCACTTATTAGTAACACAAATTATGTTTTGAAAACCCAGCTCTTAGCCTAACCCAATATTCCTCAAGGGACAGCTGCCTAACCCAAGACAGCAGTCCCTTGAACTTTACAAGAGGTTATATTCAATTTTTTTTTTTTAATTCACGCTTAGCTAAGAACAGGCTCCTTTTTTTTTATATAATTCTCGTCTGTTTTCAGCTTACTAAAAAGAATGTTCATTTTCTTGAGTTAATTTTGTAAAATTCAAAAATATATGTCTTTTTATGTAATTTTGCATGAAATAAAGATAATTTTAAGGACAAGTTATTCAGTTGAACCAAGAGGAATAACTGTTGGTTCTAATGACAATAGAGGTATAGGCAAAATGACTAATACACCTGTATTTTATGATGATGACTTGTATTCACATTTTTGGAGGTTAAACTGTTACTTTTGGGTTCTTAATGTTTGTCTGTAGAAGTTTTACAATAAGGTAAAGCTATCACTTTTGGGTTAGTATTCAGCTGTACAATAATGTTTTAGTTTTTCATTAAGAAGAATGAACTAATATGGAAAACAAATTTAAACAACAATCCAAATTTATTGTTTTCACTGTTACTAACCAATTCACAATAAATTAAGCAATTTAGTTGGAAATCATGAGGGGAAACTGGAAACTGCTGCTCACTCATACAGTGAACTGTTTTAACATTATACTAATCAACAGCAGAAAGTGAATAATTCACATAATCATCCAGTCATATAATAATTACTTTATAAAAAACAGAATGGAAGAAAGAAACCTGAAACACTGGCCTATATTCTTCCATTGTATAGCTGACTACAGAGTTTTCCTTTGCACTTGATGCAAACTTGTTTTTTTTTTATTGTTTTTCTCCACTCATTGGTACATTGATTGATCAATTCGTTCATTCACTCATTTACTCATTAAATCATGAAACTATCCTTTATACAATGAGCAAATGAAAATAGAAAAACAGTTAAACAAACTTTTTAAAATGGTTGCAAAAGTTATACAGCAATCTACAAAAATAAAAAGGAGTTTTTAAAAACAATGTGAGACCCAATCTAAGAGGCTGCCTGCTTAAGACTAATGGGTATGACTGAGAATACGGGAATGGCTGGTAGTATACGAACAAGTGCTATAGAGTTGGGTCAAATTAAAAAGGTTTGCCTTGCTCATTCTTATGTTCACCAATCTACACAAATCCTGCAAATTCAGTACAGATTTTCACAAAATGAAAGAATCAACTTTATATGCTTTGATCATGTTTCCTACAGATCATCAGTGAAATTCCTTCAAAATCTATCAAACCCATCCTAGAAACACACAATCAGGAATAAAAAAATCAGAACATTACTGCACCTCTGCCTCTACTTGACGTCGAATTCGTATTATGTTAAATACGTCCAGTTCAGATTCACATCTGCAAACTTCATTTTCCACATCAACTGGAATGGTTCCTCCTGCTTGAAGTTTCTGCATATATAACGATGCATAATCTCGACATGTAATACAATGTCTCCTAAGTTGTTCCCAGTTCACACCTCTCCATCGTCGACTTAAAATACAATTTTTAGCGAACTTCCACCTACACAAAGAAATAATTATGAGTAAGTTATCTTGCAAAATTTGGTACAGAAGGGATGTGGAAAGAGAAATTAACTAACCAAAATAATACAGTCGCAAACTTCTTTTTTTTAAAAAATTACATAAAACATAATTCTCTAAACAAAATTATACCTATTCAAGCAAAGCATTCAGCAAAACACATTAAAATGATAATAGTAAATATCACTCACCAATCTTTATAGAACCCTATTTTTTTAGGCACTGAAGGTTTATACTTTTGGTATTCTGATATTTTATTGGAGAAATCAAAAAAATTAAGAAGCTCAACAAGACTGTGATACTGCTCTTGGCTTATTCCTAAAAAATAAAATACCCGCATTTACCATTTTTTCAAAAATTCACACAACTCTCTCAATAAATACCAATATATAAAATATATTTCCAATTAAAATAAGATAATATTTTCTACATTCACATCTCACTTCTTGTTTTTATGCTGCAATATAACAACAATGCTGAAAATACAATATTATGAATGTAATTAATAAGTTGAATCAATTTCACTAAAAAGTGCAAGATTACCATTGCCAGACCCTGGGCTATTTCAAGTTGACAGAGCAAACTGAAGGTATACTCCAGGGAAAATGAATGGAAGAAAAAAAGTGCAGACTTCAGCTTATTTTCAGTCAGTGGTGGTTGTGTGAGTTAAATATGTGGTTATCGCTTTGGCTGATCGACTGGCATTAACGATTTTTGTAATGCTTAATTATATTGTGGTTGTTTGCAAATACTGAATTGATTCTGATTCGACTCTAAAAAGAAGTCTAGACTAGTTTATTGTGAATCTCAGTTTCAATTAGTTCTACAGCAAGCCAACATTCTATGAATGCATTTTGTACTATTAACATTTTTTTTCCAATAAAATTTGAATATAAAATGTGTATAAGAACTAATAGCCTAATAATCATAACATTAAATTTTTGAATGAATTATTATTAAATATAGGTAAAAACATTAATGTACTGAATGACAGGATACGTAAACAAGAGTAACTATCAGAAATCTATCACGAAATCATAAAACTCTACTAGAAATTGAATAAAGATGATGCAGCTTTCTGTTCCGTGTAAATGTAACTATTGTAAAATATAATTAGATTTCTTTTTAAGTAGGAAGTAACCCTGGTCTGAGGGTTTTCCACAATTGCATCTGAACTTTCTTGATTGGACAAGTGAATATTGATATATGTAGATAGAAAATTCATTGTCAACCCACTCTTTTTCTGTAAGATTACAGTAATGAAGCAAGTCAATCAACTTAAAGGCTCATCATTATATAAGAGCTGTGCTGCAGAGTTCCATTCATAATTCTGAAGCTAGCACAATTTCTCTTCCACACCTATGACCAGGGTTTCAGTGAACAACCAAAATAGAACAGAAAAGAACACTTCTTTAAAAAAAATAAGGTAATACTAAACCATCATGATATAAATGCAATTTGTAAGTCATTTAATAATAAATTGTGTAAAACGATACAAACCTACTGCCAATGTATCCATTAGTACAGTCAAAAGAATTTTTGGAAATTCAAATGGCTTATCACCTTTCTCAGGTTTAGGATTCAATTGTAGTCGAGCTGCGGAAGTGATAGGTCCCAAAACTGAAAATAAGATTGATTAATAATGTAATGAAATCTCTATGATGAATGTATAATAAAAGTTTTAACGATTTATTTACAAAATTATTCTTAGCAAGCAAATTACACAAAAAATATGGTGTAGTGAAAATAAAGAGAGGACTTGAGACTAAAAAAACAAAGACTTTAAAAATGAAGAACACACAAGGAAATTAAAAGCAACAATGAAACTTAAATGTAAATAAAATAATAAAAACTATGATAAAAATATTAAAACATGAAGAGCAGCACAACTTTAAATTGGAGAATGTTTTTGGTCTCAAAATTTGAATTCACATCAGACAGCCATTTCAGGAAATTCACATCTTTTCAAAACACACTGCATCCTGATACAAAATATTATTTTTCATAAATTAATTTTCACCAATAAAAGCCAGTTTAGAAACTTCTTTTTGTAATACTTTTTGGATTTAAGGAAATCTACACATCGATATTATTTTAATACCACAAACCATCCTGTTCTGCTAGACAAATAAAATTTTACTCTGTGAACCAAAGATGTGATGATAAAAAAAGTTCAAATAAAAAAATAAATAAAAAATGTTAGTTTGGCTATAATAATTTTTTCATACATTTTATTTTTGTAAATCAATCAATTGCTTAATGATAAGTGCAATAACAAAGTCTATACGGTTAAAACATGAAAAAAAATTCTATAATATTTTATTTTTTGACTTGATACAAATCAAAAAATTACTTCACCTCTAATTTTGATTATACCTTTTCTAAAATCATTTTTCATTCTTACAAAAATTTGGAAAAGAATTTCATTGTTTCTGCTCTGACCCCACATAATATATGTGGGTCAGAGCAATAAAAATTAAATAAAATATTAAACTGTTATTTACAAAATTTGATATACCAATTTCCCCAACTTTGCCAGACCTATTCACATTAATTTTTTTAGATCACATTTAAATTAATTCAAAGAAATCTGAAACACTTCACACTCAATAATTTAAATTGACTGATTGGTTTTTAATTACCCACTTAAATCAATCAAACTGTTTCTTACGTAAGCCAGTAATTTTCTCAAGTAAGCCATCCATCATTATAATGAAGGCTTTTTTAATGGCCTGCCACCGTCATAATTAAGCTAAAGCATAAATTATTTAAGTACAAAAGAACACAGTATAAGTTTAACAATTCTTTTTGAATGTTTTCAAATTAAATAAACAGAGTTCATATCCCAACAAACCAATACAAATAAGTTGCCAATATTTTTTTATTGATTTGTTTACAAAATAACTTTGAACTATTTGAATTAAAAATGTATACTGTCCTTCTTTAACAAAAAAATCAACAGGTTCTTGGCAATTACAATTCCTGAATATATTTAAAATGACTATATTTTTGCATTAAAATATTGGCTTTATGATTTCAGATATTTATTTAAATAACAGCCAAATATTAAATCTTTTCCATGCATATTATTCAAGTAACTTGTATCCATCGGTCCAACCCATTAAATTCAATGAAGCTAATCCTTCCATTTATATCATCTATTCAGGATTTACAGGCTTCAGGTAGCACAGCAAAAGTGGAGTTAAGGTGTTTAATTTCCACAAGTAATTTATTGAATTTTGCATTGATTCTCAACAATAGCAGGAACTTGTAGAAAATAGAGGAATGATCATCCACTTTTCCACTACCTATGTTTCCTACTTCCTCCTCAACATTTTAATTCATTTTCTTATTATTCGTCATTTTATAGTTGTTTTTATAGATTTTAACTGAATTTTCTGATATTCTTTACATGACGGGGGAATTAGCACATTGCACCCATCTTTTGTCTTGATACCAACCTGTGAACAAGTCATGCCATTCTGCTCTATGTAACTACAAACTTATGGAAACTAACATATATTTGTGTTCAAATGAAAAGAACCTAACAAAGGTTCCTAGTAATAAAACTAGTTTTCTCTAACCTAAAGTAATGATGGAAGATATTATAGGGTGTGTACAAAACAGTTAAAAATTATAAGAACACTTTATTTAAAAAAATTACAAGCCTCAAAAAGGTAATATTATAATGTTCAACCAAAAACCGGAACAGATCTCTACCCATTCTTTTGCAATCTTTTTGTCACAAATATTCCACAAGATAACTGTCCAAATCCTTTTGGTGTAACCTGCCATGTGAGAGGCAATGATGTAAGGGGCACCATTGGCTTCGAATTATGTATTCTCTGTTCCCTGTCTCCAAATCCCTCTCCTCTCTTTCTAGTAGCAATTAATAATGCCCCACAATCCACACATGGGATTTGAGGGGGAACAAGTCTACAACACCACTGTATACTGACTGCCCAATTTTCCCCAATATTTGAGAAAGTCATCCAATTCGTGTTGGAACGACTAACAACACTGAGTACTACTAATACCTACTTAGATTGCGAAGGATGGTAGAACGAACTATAGTATGATTTATTTAGTCGTGTACTTGATGTAAATCAGCTGTTACAGTTTGATCCAAACGTTAGCTTGTACATCGCTACAGTGAGGTCACCATGAGGACATTTGATTGTATGAAACCGATATTTAGCTGATTTATGATAAGTGCACGGTTAAATAAATTCTAGTATATGAATATGTACATTTGTTGTGTTGGCAAACCTACAGCGACATATGAAAAACGAAATCCGCTATCTCCCCAACAAAAATGACCAAATTTTCATTCAAGAATTGAAATAATATTTAGTTTACTCTTTTAATAAAAAGCATTTAACATTTTATGATAGAGGGACAATTCAACAAGCTTAAAATGTAGGTAAATTATTCCTGTAGATGTTATGTTTATGGCATTAAGATTTCTAAGCCCTAAGTACACCACATTATTTCTATGTTTAGAGGTTAAGAGAATAAAAAATTTACACAGTATTAGAAGAGTGACAAAAAACAGTATTAAAATTATTGATTTGAGGATTCATTCATTCATTCCATTCTCCAACCTTTGACCCCAAAAGATAAGCCATCACCCAAATTCACTATACGCCACTAATACTTACTGTATGCAAATTTCTCTGGATGTTTATCATCACAAAATATTCCTTTCTGAAATAAATTCAACATTTCCATTTTACTCTCACTTTGCATAAACATAGAACTTTGACAGTTCCAATACACAGCAAGCCCTTTCAGATTTAACACCTGTAACAAATGCAGAGAAGTTTGAAACAGAATACTTAAAATATTATAATTATAATTATAACAATAATAATAATAATAACAATAATAATTATTATTATTACAATAGTAACAATAGTAATAAGAATCATCATCATCAAAGTTAGTAAATGTATTAATTAAAGACAATACCTTGAAAATCATAGTGGATGCATCCTGGACTATACCTTCACGCCAGTTTTTGTCAGTAGATTGAACAGAAAGGTTATGAAGTGTAATACCCAAAGAAAATGGGCATTTTGGATTAGTAACTGAATCTTCATACCGAATATGTATATCTTGTATCTTAATTTGAATATTCTTTATTATTTGTGTAGCTAACTTCTCTACAAAAGTATCTGAAGAATCTGCCTTATCTGTTGAAAATATTTTTGAATTTCATTAAGACCTATGAATTAAAAAAACCAAAGACAAAGCACATCTTGAAACATAAAATTAACTAGACCTGCTTCTTTCTTCAGACAGCGAGCAACTTCTAATCTTTGCAATAATGCTTGTTTAGCTTTCTGGCCGGTCTGGTCATGACATTCTGGTTCTGGTACTGCCAAAAGGAAAAGACGCTCAACTGTTGCTATAACAGGAGCACTATACAAATTCTTCCATGGAATTTTTAAAACTAGCCGCCCTGAAACAAGTACCACTTGTTAAAATCATCATTCATTACCTTTCTTGACACATTATCACCAATAACAAGATTGAGGAAAAAAATAATACAGTATTTCAAAATAATTAGTAGCAAAAAACATTCTTCTTGTAACTTTCATTAACTTACATTTCTTCCAGTAAAACTGCACTGTTTTATAACAACTTATTCATAATTGACAACTTCACATAATTGATACAATATTATAAATTAACACTCAAAAATGTGGTTTTATTCTTCAGCATTATGACATATAATTAATATTTATATTGCATTTATAGTTATATTATATGTAACTTATTTATATTACATATAAACAAAAAGGAAGGAAATCATTATATTGCTAATAGTTATATTCATACCTAAGTGCCCAAATGTACACTTCACAGGTAAATCAAGCCCATCCAAAACACTTGTCTTGAGAACAAGATCTTGCAAAACAACGTCACCTGTAAATAATGTCCGTGATAATTACACATACAACATAAAAGTGACTAAAATTAAATATTCATTATGATATTTTTATTTCATATTTCTAAAATTTTTGACATTGATATCAACAATATTAGTTACAATTCTGATACTATAGTAGAAGAGAGACAAATAAACCAGAATTTGAAATGTACCTCCCCATATTCCAATTTTCAGTTGTGACCTGTCCAAATTTTCTACATAGTCACCGATATAAATGTTCAAAATATCAGCCACTACTGATTCAAAAACCATGACGGTATTGTATATCCGCCGTGATATTTCTAATGATGTAATAGCATACGGTTGATAACTAATGCTTATTAATGTAGCAATTAAGAAACATAGTTCGGTGAAATAATATATTTTACATGACAAATTATCGTTTGTATAGTATATAAGCAACAACCACACACTTCAGCACACTTCACAGAAGTTTGTCTTCGAGTAGCTTTGAACAACTGCGACACCCGATACGATTGGATACGACTCAGACACTCGTGACATTCATTGAGACAATCTTCGTCAGCAACTTCAAAAAAACTTTTAACCATTCATAAATATTTGTTACTGAAAATTACACAATTCTCTTCATAGAGTCATACTCTTTATCTCCAAATGAGTATTCAGCCATAAAAACCATACGTGGGCCCACAAAACTTGTAATTGAAAAGTGTCCACGAGTTCTACAAACGTAACAGCCCTACCAAATCAAATAATGAATTTCATTGTACCTCATGTACACATTAAGGACTTTATAAAATTTCGGCCCCAAATTATATTAATTTATTTCTTATTTGTTTAATATAATACTATATTATTACTCGTATACATGTAAAAGAAAAAGATCCATCGCAATGAGAACTGAAATATTTTTGAAATGTACAGTTGGTGAGCCTATCGTGCAAGAGCGCTAAACATGAATATCTGTTCGTAACATCGTACATTCACATTTTTTGTAAGAGGAGCGAGAGTACGTAATTAAGATATATATAATCAAAATCGGTATTTATGATATGATAGGTAATAGTGACCGTTTATTTTGCGAGAAGGAAAAGTTGTGATACCATGCGATAGGCCGAGTGGCGTAATCCTATGATGTGTATTGTCTTTCTGTAGACGCGGAGTCTCCTGTGCCAGGTTGTGTTAAAAATCTCAAAGGGAAAGAGAGATGATACCAGTGAAGATTTTTGATATTTTTCATTGATGCTTATGGACTTGCTCTCTTACGTGAAATCTCATCCTATGATTGTGAATGTCCTCGAATCCCTTTTGTGTCCACAATAGCATTTCGTAGAGACAGGATCGAGAGTAATATAAATTCGTAGTCGATCGGATGGACCGTGCGATCAAGATCACAAATGAAAGGTAGTTTCCTTCCACTTTAGTATTAATGTAAATTATCGAGTTAAAATAAAAACGTAAATAACTCATTTTTTACATTTATTACTTTTAATTGGTACATTTTTAACGTGTCCTGTGTTTTGCCCTCTACTTTAGCAAGAATAAATGCTTTTTTTTGCATGCCTATTTTAGTAAAAATAAATTCTTTTTTGCCTGCCTGTTTTAATAAAATAAATGCCTGAACTTCTGGGCTATAACTATAGGAAAATGTATGTATGATGCTGTACGAAACAGTGCAATTCCATTTTTTT